GGCCCCCTCTGCTGACCTCAATGGTCCAGTCGTGAGAACGGGTGGATATTAAACAATTTGAAGGCTCAGACCAAGTGTCGGTGTGGTTTTTTGGGGGATGGTGAGGGGGGAATAGTCTTGTGGAAACATCTGGGATCCCCCATCTAAGAAGTCCACCATCTGGAAGGCTTGAAGGAGGGGAAACAAGAAGGTCCAAGGACTGGACACCAGGTCTTGGGAGGAATAACTGAGGGAACTGGGGACATTTGGAAGATGGAGGAGAGATTGAAAAGAGAGATGGAGAAGACGGAAGAGAGATTGAAATGATGGAGAGGAGAAGACAAAGACTGAGAAGAGAAGATGGAGAAAAGATGGAAGAGATGGAGCAGATCAAGAAGAGGAGATGGAGAGGAGAACAAAGAGAAGACGGAGATGGAGGACAGATTGAGAAGGAGATGAAGATAGAGATGATGGAGAAGAGAAAATAGAGGAGATGGAGAAGTCAGTGAAGATAGAGATGGAGGAGAGATTGAGAAGATGGAGAAGGTGGAGTAGAAATTGAGAAGATGGAGAAGACAAGATAGAAAGGGAGGAGATGGAAAAGAGAAGATAGAGGAGATAGAGAAGCATAGAATCCTAGAGTTGGAAGAGACCTCATGGGCCATCCAGTTCAACTCTATTCTGCCAAGAATCAGGAAAATTGCCTTCAATTTAGAAGAGATGGAGAACAGGAGGTGGAGGTGGAAAGGAAGGAGAAGATAGAGATGGAGAAGATAGAAATGGAGGGGATGGAAAAGAGAAAATAGAGGAGATGGAGAAGAGAAGACGGAGAGATTGAGAAGATGGAGAAGAGATGATGGAGCTTGAGGAGAGAAGATAAAAATGGCAAGGTATGGAAAAGAGAAGATAGAGGAAATGAAAAGAGATGACAGAGATTGAGAAGAGATGGAGAACAGAAGATAGAGGAGATGGAAAAGGAGGGGAAGATAGAGATGGAGAAGAAAAGACAAAGGAGAGATTGAGTAGAGGAGATAGAGAAGAAAAGATAGGGATGGAGGAGATGGAGAAGAAATTGAGATGGAGAAGATAGAGAAGGTGGATGAGAGTTTGAGGAGAAGAGATGGAGGAGAGAACATGGAGAACCAGATAGAGAAGATGGAAAAGGGGAGGTGGAGGGGAGATTGAGAAGAGAATGTGGAGAAGATAGAGATCAAGAAGACAATATAGAGAAGAAAAGGTGGAGAAGAGAAGGTGAAGGAAACAAGCTGGGTGAGATAGAGGTGGGAAGATAGAGGAGAGAAAGTGGAAAATAAATGGAGAAGATGGAGGAGACAGAATGGAAAGAGAAGATGAAGAAATTGAAGGAAGAAGATGGGATGCCACCTGGAAGATGATGGGTACATCCACAATGTAGTTTTGATGCCACCTTGAGCTGCCATGACTGAGTGGTGTGGCACCCTGGGAGTTAGAGCTTGACCAGGCCCTTAGCTTTTGTTTAGTTTCCAGCGTAGTACCTGACAATGCAGGAGTTACTTCAGGGACATCTACACGGTAGAATGGATGCAGTTTGGGAACACCTTTCGCTGCCATGACTCAGCACTATGGAATAATAGGAGTTGTGGTTTGGGGAGACACTGGTAAGCCTTTATCAATACTATATGTATATACAATATACTGTATTATTAACATAGCACAATATCAGTGTTATATACTACTATATTGTCCTATCTTTACTTACTTACTTACTTAGGGGATCCCTCGTAGTCTGAGGATGATGGTCCTCCAAGTTTGGTGTCCTGGCAGTGGGTCCGTAGGTGACTCTGGAGCTCTCTTCTTGACCTGCATCTTCTCTCACTGTGAGGGCATTGGTTTCCAGGTGGAAGGCAGTCCCGGTCGGGGTTGGCTTGGCGCGCCTTCCTCTTGGCACGTTTCTCTCTTTCACCCTCCATTTGTTCCTCTTCAAATTCTACAGCACTGCTGGTCACAGCTGACCTCCAGCTGGAGCGCTCAAGGGCCAGGGCTTCTCAGTGTCTATGCCAAAGTTTTTAAGGTTGGCTTTGAGCCCATCTTTCAATCTCTTCCTGTCCACCAACGTTCCGTTTTCCGTTCTTGAGTTCGGAATAGAGCAACTGCTTTGGGAGATGGTGGTCGGGCATCCGGACAACGTGGCCGGCCCAGCGGAGTTGATAGCGGAGGACCATTGCTTCAATGCTGGTGGTCTTTGCTTCTTCCAGCACGCTGACGTTTCCCCGCCTGTCTTCCCAAGAGATTTGCAGGATTTTCCGGAGGCAGCGCTGATGGAATCGTTCCAGGAGTTGCATGTGATGTCTGTAGACAGTCCACGTTTCACAGGCATAGAGCAGGGTTGGGAGGACAATAGCTTTATAAACAAGCCCCTTGGTCTCCCTACGGATGTCCCGGTCCTCAAACACTCTCTGCTTCATTCGGAAAAATGCTGCACTCGCAGAGCTCAGGCGGTGTTGTATTTCAGTGTCGATGTTGACTTTGATGGAGATTGTCCTATACCACTATACTGGAAATATTAGTAATATTACATGTAATACTAATAATACAATCTGCGAGATTGTTCAGGAGGCGGCAACAAAGTACGTTCCAAAGAAAAAGAAAACCAAGAAGGCAAAATGGTTGTCTGCTGAGACACTGGAAGTAGCCCAAGAAAGGAGGAAAGCAAAAGGAAACAGTGAAAGGGGGAGATATGCCCAGTTAAATGCGCAATTCCAGAGGTTAGCCAGAAGAGATAAGGAACTATTTTTAAATAAGCAATGCATGGAAGTGGAAGAAGACAACAGAATAGGAAGGACAAGAGACCTCTTCCAGAAAATTAGAAACATTGGAGGTAAATTTCAGGCAAAAATTGGTATGATAAGAAACAAAGATGGCAGGGACCTAACAGAAGCTGAAGAGATCAAGAGAAGGTGGCGAGACTGTACAGAAGATCTGTATAGGAAAGATAATAATATTGAGGATAGTTATGACGGTGTGGTGAATGAATTAGAACCAGACATCCTGAGGAGTGAGGTTGAATGGGCCTTAAGAAGCATTGCTAACAACAAGGCAGCAGGAGACGACGGGATCCCAGCTGAACTGTTTAAAATCTTAAAAGATGATGCTGTCAAGGTGATGCATGCCATTTGCCAGCAAATATGGAAAACACAAGAATGGCCATCAGACTGGAAAAAATCAACTTATATCCCCATACCAAAAAAAGGAAATGCGAAAGACTGCTCAAACTTCCGTACAGTGGCCCTTATTTCTCATGCCAGTAAGGTAATGCTCAAGATCCTGCAAGGAAGACTCCAGCAACACATGGAGCAAGAGTTGCCAGATGTTCAAGCTGGGTTTAGAAAAGGCAGAGGAACGAGAGACCAGATTGCCAATATCCGCTGGATAATGGAGAAAGGCAGGGAGTTTCAGAAAAACATCTATTTCTGCTTCATTGACTATTCTAAAGCCTTTGACTGGGTGGATCATAATAAATTGTGGCAAGTTCTTGGTGGGATGGGCATACCAAGCCACCTTGTCTCTCTCCTGAGGAATCTGTACAAGGACCAAGTAGAACAGTCAGAACTGACCACGGAACAACAGACTGGTTCAAGATTGGGAAAGGCGTACGGCAAGGCTGCATCCTCTCACCCAACCTTTTTAACTTGTATGCAGAACACATCATGCGAGGATGTGCGGGGCTGGATGAATGCAAAGCTGGGGTGAAAATGGCTGGAAGAAACATTAACAACCTCAGATATGCAGATGACACCACTCTGATGGCCGAAAGCGAGGAGGAGCTGAGGAGCCTTCTAATCAAGGTGAAAGAAGAAAGCGCAAAAGCCGGGTTGCAGCTAAACATAAAAAAAAAAACAAGATTATGGCAACAAGAATGATTGACAACTGGGAAATAGAGGGAGAAAATGTGGAGGCCGTGACAGACTTTGTATTTCTAGGTGCAAAGATTACTGCAGATGCAGACTGTGGCCAGGAAATCAGAAGACGCTTACTTCTTGGGAGGAGAGCAATGTCCAATCTCGATAAAATAGTGAAGAGTAGAGACATCAGACTGGCAACAAAGATCCGCCTAGTCAAAGCCATGGTATTCCCTGTAGTCACCTACGGATGTGAGAGCTGGACCTTAGGGAAGGCTGAGCCAAGGAAGATCGATGCTTTTGAGCTGTGGTGTTGGAGGAAAGTGCTGAGAGTGCCTTGGACTGCGAGAAGATCCAACCAGTCCATCCTCCAGGAAAGAAAGCCCGGCTGCTCACTGGAGGGAAAGATACTAGAGACAAAGCTGAAGTACTTTGGCCACATCATGAGGAGACAGGAAAGCCTGGAGAAGGGAATGATGTTGGGGAAAGTGGAAGGCAAAAGGAAGAGGGGCCGACCAAGGGCAAGGTGGATGGATGGCATCCTTGAAGTGACTGGACTGACCTTGAAGGAGCTGGGGGTGGTGACGGCCAACAGGGAGCTCTGGCGTGGGCTGGTCCATGAGGTCACGAAGAGTCGGAGACGACTGAACGAATGAACAACAACATACTAGTATTATACTATTACATAATACATTGTACTGTATCATAAGTTGTAGTATACATAATAATATTACCACAATATGTACTAGTATTATACTATTAATATTACGTAATACATTGTACTATAGGTTGCAGTATATATAATATATTACAGTATTAACATCACATAAGTATTATTACATTACAATGTTGTTATTTCTATATATTACTATATTGTATAGATTATATCCTAGCCAGAGATCTTGCAGTTTTGTTTTTTTTTATAAGGGGCCTCTCCTAGGAGATATACGGTAGGGCGGAAGTGCGTTTTTTGCGCATGCGCTTCTATCAGGCGGAGGCGGCGCTGCTTTGGGCAGAGCGGGCAAAAGGAATGGCGGCCTCCTTGGCGGCGTCAGGGGGAGTGGCTGCAGTGCGCGTGCGCGAGGGGCGGAGCGGGGGCGTGGCCGCGGGAGGGCCCGCCCACCCGCCACGACAACATCCCTGGGTCCCTCCTTCCCTCCCTCTTCCTTGGGTCAGCCATGGCCGGGGTGCAGCGGATGAAGGTGGCCAACGAGAGGCACAGCAAGAGCATCACGCAGCGGGGAGGACTCCACCGGAGCCCGGTAAGAAGGCTCAGGGCCAGTGCCACCCCCCTGGGAGTTGTAGTTCTGCCAGGTCCCCAACCCTCTCTAGTTGCATCTACACTATAGAATTATCCCACTTTGATACCACTTTAGCTGACTGGACCCTGGGAGCTGCACTTCTACAAGGTCTCCTTCCAGCCTTCTCTGGGTGCATCTGCACTATGGGACTAACCCAGTTTGGCACCGCTTTAACTGCCCTGGCTCAGTACTGATAGGGCCCTGGGAGTAGTAGTTCTACAAGGACTCCTGTTTCCTCTAGGTGCATCTTCACTGTGGGATTAACCCACTTCAATACCACTTTAGCTTCCCTGGCTCAATGCTCAATGGGATCCTGGGAGTTGTAGTTCTACAATAATAACAATAATAATAATAATAATAATAATAATAATAATAAATAGAATAATAGATTCCTAGAGTTGGAAGAGACCTGGTGGGCCATAATAATAATAATAATAATAATAATAATAAATAGAATAATAGAATTCTAGAGTTGGAAGAGACCTAGTGGGCCATAATAATAATAATAATAATAATAATAATAATAATAATAATAATAATAAATAGAATCCTAGAGTTGGAAGAGACCTGGTATATAATAATAATAATTAGAATAATAGATTCCTAGAGTTGGAAGAGCCCTGGTAGGTGATAATAATAATAATAATAATAATAATAATAATAATAATAATAATAATAAATAGAATAATAGAATTCTAGAGTTGGAAGAGACCTAGTGGGCCATAATAATAATAATAATAATAATAATAATAATAATAATAATAAATGGAATAATAGAATTCTAGAGTTGGAAGAGACCTAGTGGGCCATAATAATAATTAGAATAATAGATTCCTAGAGTTGGAAGAGCCCTGGTAGGTGATGATAATAATAATAATAATAATAATAATAATAATAATAATAATAATAATAAATAGAATAATAGATTCCTAGAGTTGGAAGAGACCTGGTAGGCAATAATAATAATAATAATAATAATAATAATAATAAATAGAATAATAGAATTCTAGAGTTGGAAGAGACCTAGTGGGCCATAATAATAATAATAATAATAATAATAATAATAATAATAATAAATGGAATAATAGAATTCTAGAGTTGGAAGAGACCTAGTGGGCCATAATAATAATTAGAATAATAGATTCCTAGAGTTGGAAGAGCCCTGGTAGGTGATGATAATAATAATAATAATAATAATAATAATAATAATAATAATAAATAGAATAATAGATTCCTAGAGTTGGAAGAGACCTGGTAGGCAATAATAATAATAATAATAATAATAATAATAATAAATAGAATAATAGAATTCTAGAGTTGGAAGAGACCTAGTGGGCCATAATAATAATAATAATAATAATAATAATAATAATAAATAGAATCCTAGAGTTGGAAGAGACCTGGGGGGCCATAATAATAATAATAATAAATAGAATAATAGAATTCTAGAGTTGGAAGAGACCTGGTGGGCCTAATAATAATAATAATAATAATAATAATAATAATAATAATAATAAATAGAATCCTAGAGTTGGAAGAGACCTGGTAGATAATAATAATAATTAGAATAATAGATTCCTAGAGTTGGAAGAGCCCTGGTAGGTGATGATAATAATAATAATAATAATAATAATAATAATAATAATAATAAATAGAATAATAGATTCCTAGAGTTGGAAGAGGCCTGGTAGGCCATAATAATAATAATAATAATAATTAATAGAATCCTAGAGTTGGAAGAGACCTGGTAGATAATAATAATAATTAGAATAATAGATTCCTAGAGTTGGAAGAGACCTGGTAGGCAATAATAATAATAATAATAATAATAATAATAATAATAATAATAATAAATAGAATAATAGATTCCTAGAGTTGGAAGAGGCCTGGTAGGCCATAATAATAATAATAATAATAATTAATAGAATCCTAGAGTTGGAAGAGACCTAGTGGGCCATAATATTGAAATTGAATCCAGACAAGACAGAGGTACTCCTGGTCAGTCGTAAAGCCGAACAGGGCATAGGGTTACAGCCTGTGTTGGATGGGGTCGCACTCCCCCTGAAGACGCAGGTTCGCAGTTTGGGTGTGATCCTGGACTCATCGCTGAGCCTGGAACCCCAGGTTTCGGCGGTGACCAGGGGAGCATTCGCACAGTTAAAACTCGTGCGCCAACTGCGCCCGTACCTTGGGAAGTCTGACTTGGCCACGGTGGTCCACGCTCTGGTTACATCCCGTTTAGACTACTGCAACGCTCTCTACGTGGGGTTGCCTTTGAAGACGCCCGGAAGCTCCAATTAGTCCAACGGGCGGCAGCCATGATACTAACAGGAGCGGGGCGCAGGGAGCACACAACTCCTCTGCTGCACCAGCTCCACTGGCTGCCGATATGCTACCGGGCTCAATTCAAAGTGCTGGTGTTGGCCTTTAAAGCCCTAAACGGTTCTGGCCCAACTTATCTATCCGAACGTATCTCGGCCTATCAGCCCACCAGGACCCTAAGATCTTCTGGGGAGGCCCTGCTCTCTATCCCGCCTGCTTCACAGGTGCGGCTGGCGGGGACGAGAGACAGGGCCTTTTCTGTGGTGGCCCCGCGGCTATGGAACGCCCTTCCCATGGAGGTAAGATCAGCCCCCTCATTGATGGTATTTCGAAAAGACTAAAAACCTGGATGTTCGAGCAGGCGTTCGGTTAACTCAGTGCAATAAGTGTAATGATTGAAGGACTGGCAATTTGGACGACGAAACTGGATCGCGATTTTAGTCAAGAGATGAATTGGATTGTTTATTGATATATGTATTGTGGATTGTGTTTTTATGTTTTTAAACTGTATACTGTTGTTTGTTATAAGTTGTTGTAAACCGCGTTGAGTCGCCGGCTAGGCTGAGAAACGGCGGTATACAAGTATAGCAAATAAATAAATAAATAAATACAAGGTCTCCTTCCAGCCTTCTCTGGGTGCATCTGCACTATGGGATTAAACCCAGTTTGGCACCGCTTTAACTGCCCTGGCTCAATGCTGATTGGCCCCTGGGAGCTGTAGTTCTACAAGGACTCCTGTTTCCTCTAGGTGCATCTTCACTGTGGGAATAACCCAGTTTGATACCACTTTTTAATGCTAATGGAATCCTGGGAGTTGTAGTTTTACAAGGACTCCTGCCTTCTCTGTGTGCACCTACACTGTAGGCTCAACCCACTTCAATACCACTTTAGCTTCCCTGGCTCAATGCTTAATGGGATCCTGGGAGTTGTAGTTCTCCAAGCTCTCCTTTAACTGCCTTCACTTAATGCTAATGGAATCCTGGGAGTTGTAGTTTTACAAGGTCGCCTGCCTTCACTGTGTGCACCTACACTGTAGGCTTAACCCACTTCAATACCACTTTAGCTTCCCTGGCTCAATGCTTAATGGGATCCTGGGAGTTGTAGTTCTCCAAGCTCTCCTTTAACTGCCTTCACTTAATGCTAATGGGATCCTGGGAGTTGTAGTTTTACAAGGACTCCTGCCTTCTCTGTGTGCACCTACACTGTAGGCTCAACCCACTTCAATACCACTTTAGCTTCCCTGGCTCAATGCTTAATGGGATCCTGGGAGTTGTAGTTCTCCAAGCTCTCCTTTAACTGCTTTCACTTAATGCTAATGGGATCCTGGGAGTTGTAGTTTTACAAGCTCTCCTGCCTTCTCTGGGTGCACCTACACTGTAGCCTAAACCCGCTTCAATACCACTTTACCTTCCCTGACTCAATGCTTAATGGGATCCTGGGAATTGTAGTTCTCCAAGCTCTCCTTTAACTGTCTTCACTTAATGCTAATGGAATCCTAGGAGTTGTAGTTTTACAAAGACTCCTGCCTTCTCTGGGTGCACCTACACTGTAGCCTAAACCCGCTTCAATACCACTTTACCTTCCCTGACTCAATGCTTAATGGGATCCTGGGAATTGTAGTTCTCCAAGCTCTCCTTAGCCATCTCTAGGTGCATCTTCACTGTAGGATTAACCCAGTTTGGGACAGCTTTAACTGTCCTGGCTCAATGCTTAATGGGATCCTGGGAGTTGTAGTTCTACAAGGCCTCCCACATTCTCTACGCTCAACTCCACTGTAGGATTAACCCAGTTTGGCACCGCTTTAACAGCCCTCACTTAATGCTAATGGAATAATGGAAGTTGTAGTTCTGCTAATCTCTAGGTGCATTGACCCAGTTTGATGCTGCTTTAAGTGCCCTAGCTCAATGCTAATGGGACTTTAGAAGTTGTAGTTCTGCCTTCTTTAGTTCACCTACATCCAGAGATCACTGTGGACTCAAACAATGATGGATCTGGACCAAACGCTACACAAATACTCAATATGCCCAAATGTGAACACTGGTGGAGTTTGGGGAAAATAGAATCTTGACATTTGGGAGTTGTAGTTGCTGGGATTTATAGTTCACCTACAATCACAGAGCATTCTGAACCCCACCAACAATAGAATTGGGCCAAACCTCCCACAGAACCCCCATGACCACCAGAGTGGGCCACAGCAACGCGTGGCAGGGGACGGCTAGTAAATAAACAAAAGGAAAAATAGAAACGATGGTTGTTGTGAAAGTCCTTGTTTTCTCATTCCACCTTGGTCTCTTTTGTGTGTGTGTGTGTGTGTGTGTGTGTGTGAAGATGCCTCAGGAGGAGAAAGCCCCCGTCGGGCCCTGGCTCTTGGCCCTCTTCGTCTTCGTGGTCTGCGGATCAGGTCCGTATGATTCATATTACTATGATTAGTAGTAGTATTATTTTCTCTCTTTTTTGCAATACCAATAGTATTATGCTAATGCCACATACTTGTTCATTGCTGCTCACAATGACACAATGAGCACTTTGGACTGCCAGGGATCAGTCCTGGGATGTGTAGTACTCTAGAAAAGCCCTCTGGCTCCAAAGTCATGCCTCTCCTCTGTAACCCTGAGCTTAACACGTTATGGGTTATAAAGCTGTTGTGCGTCTCCAAACTACAAATCCCAGGGTTCCATAAGGACACAGTTAAAATGGAATCACAATGTTATGCTGCTACAACGTGGAAGTCATCCTTGGAAATGCCTGGGAGTTGCAGTTTTTAAAGGCTGGTTGAGGACACCTGGAATGGTTTTGAGCATCCCTTAACAAGGTGCTTTGGGTCCAGTGGGCCTCCTGTCCAAGAGGGACATCCACACTGTAATATTAATGCAGATTGACAACACTGTAACTGTATTGTCGAAGGCTTTGATGGCTGGAATCACTGGGTTGTCGGTTTTTCGGGCTATATGGCCATGTTCTAGAAGCATTCTCTCCTGACGTTTCGCCTGTTTCTATAGCAAGCATGGCAAGCATCTGAGGTTGCTTGCCATAGATGCAGGCGAACGTCAGGAGAGAATGCTTCTAGAACATGGCCATATAGCCCGAAAAACCGACAACAATCCAACACTTTAACTGCTATTGCATCCTGTTTAATAATGTGTTTTTGCTCTCCCCACCAAAGAGTGCTGAAGGCTCATCACACAACTCCCAGGATTCCATAGCACTGAGCCATGGCAGTGAACGTGGTGTCAAACCGCACTAATTCTGCAGTGTAGATGCACCCAATTCAAGTTCTGGAAGTGAAGCTATGACCATTCAGGTCATGTCATGCCTCGCTCTGCTTTGGCCAGAGCTAGAATAATCAAACCCTAGAATTTGAAGAGACCCCTGAGAGCGATCTAGTTGGATGACACAATCAAAGCCTCACTGACAGATGGCCTCACTTGAATTATTTTTTTGCCCAGATGGCCAAAGGTCTGGAAACTATTACTGTATTATTAGTATTAACATTCGTCAGGCATTGAATGTTTGCCATATATGTGTTTACTGTAATCCGCCCTGCGGGTTGAGAAGGGCGGAATATAAGAACTGTAAATAAATAAATAAATAAATAAATAAATAAAGCAAAGATCGGGTGGCCATCTATTGGGAGGGCTTTGGTGGGTGGTCCTGCATGGAAGAATAATGTCCTTTAATGGGGACCTTTAGGGGTCCCTTCCAACTCTATGTAATATAAACTACCTGGATGCCCACTGAAGTATCCTCAACTGGAGGTTTTCAAACGGGCTGGATGGCCATCTTTTGGGAGGGCTTGGATTGTCTTCCTGCCTGGCACAACGGGGTCAGACTAGATGCCACTTGGGGGTCTCTTAAAGCTCTAGGATTCTTCACTGCCTCCAGAACAATGCAATTTAAGACCTATATGGTATATATATATATATATGAGAATTAAATATATTGACAAGCTGGAATGTGTCCAGAGGAGAGCGACTAAAATGATAAATGGTCTGGAGAACAAGCCCTATGAGGAGCGGCTTAAGGAGCTGGGCATGTTTAGCCTGAAGAAGAGAAGGCTGAGAGGAGATATGATAGCCATGTATAAATATGTGAGAGGAAGCCACAAGGGAGGAGGGAGCAAGCTTGTTTTCTGCTCCTGGAGACTAGGACACAATGGAACAATGGCTTCAAACTAAGAGAGGAGATTCCATCTGAACATGAGGAAGAACTTCCTGACTGTGAGAGCCGTTCAGCAGTGGAACTCTCTGCCCCGGAGTGTGGTGGAGGCTCCTTCTTTGGAAGCTTTTAAACAGAGGCTGGATGGCCATCTGTCAGGGGTGATTTGAATGCAATATTCCTGCTTCTTGACAGGGGGTTGGACTGGATGGCCCATGAGGTCTCTTCCAACTCTTTGATTCTATGAAAGATTATAGAAAATCCCTCCAGGTGTTTTGGACTTCAGTTCCTACAATTCATAACTGCCTGGCTGTTAGGAATTAGAATCATAGCCTTGCGAACCTTTTCCCTACAGGTGTTGGCTATTTGTTTGAATTCTTCTTTGGTGATTTCTCCCTTTTACCACTTCTTGTGCTTGTCTCCTTTGTGTTTTAACACTGAATTGTGGGAGTTGATGTCCAAAATACCTGGAGGGCTGAAGTTTGTGTAATTCAACATACAAAGGCAGTTAGAATGACACCAAGCAGATACTATTCAAATCACATGTCTTTCCACAGCCATTTTCCAGATGATCCAGAGCATCCGCCTGGGGGGCTGAAGGTCAGCTGGACCTCTGCTTTTCCTCCTCCTCCTCCGGCCCTTGTGACCTCCGCTGACCCTCAGGGAATTTTGGGGCGATTTCTGGACCTCCCTGCCAGCCTTTGGACCCATTTCCGGCCATGAAGGAATGGACGCCATGATTTCATGGAACTCAAAACAGTGTTTTTTCAAGCGCTTCTGGTGAATCCACAGGCATTTTTGCAGCATGTTTTTGGGGCGGGCGAAGGGTGGGAAAGCGAGCTGACTTCTGCCTGCAACAGGCCTCCCTCTCGGTGGCCCCCGGTCCGTTTGGAGCCGCTCAATAAAAACAGAAAACGTTGACTGCCTTGAAACCTTTGCCACAATCAGAGTGCAATCTCTCTATAAGAGTCAATCTATGTGTGTTGGTTGGTTTGTGCCACAAAGGCTCCTCTCTTGCATGACGGATCCAGACCAGATTTGGCCCACAGAGCCTTCGTGTTCTGACTTAAAGGAATGGAAGGGTTTGTACTAAAAGAACCATTCCTTTTGGTTCCAAAGGGAACGAAAGGGAGTAAAGTGACATTTCTATAAGGGGAAGGAAGGAAAGGGGAAGGAAGGGAAAGAAAAGGAGGAGAGAGAAAGAAGAGAAGGGAGAAAAAGGAGAAGGAAAGAATGGAAAGAAAAGTAAAGAAGAAGAGAAGGAAGAAAGGAAAGAAAGGGAAGGGAAAAAAGTGAGGGGAATGAGAAGGAAGAAAAAAGGAGAAGGAACAGAGAAAGAATGGAAAGGAAAGGAGAAGGGGAGGAAGGAAGAAAAGAGAAAATAAGGAAGAGAAACGAAAAGGAGAAGGAAGGAAGAAAGTGATGGGAAAGGAAAGGGGAACGAAGGAAAAAGAGAAGGTAGAAAGAAGGAAAACTATATGAGAGGAAGGAAGTGAAGGGAAAGTAAGAAGAAAGGGAAGAAAGAAGATGGAAGAAAGAAAGAGAGGAGAAGGAATGAAGAAATAATGGAAAGGAAAGAAGGAGGAAGGAAGGGACAGGGAAGGAAGGTAAAGGAGAAGGAAGAATGGAAAGGAGAAGAGAGGGAAGAAATAAAGGAGAAGGCAGAAAGAAGGGAAAGGAAATGAGGAAGGAAGGAAGAAAAGGGATAGAAAAGAAGGAAGAGAGGAAAGGAGAAGGAAGATAAAGGGACAGGCATGAAGGAAGAGAAGGGAAAGGAAGATAAAGGGAATGGAAAGCAGAAGGGAAAGAAGGAAGGGAAGGAAAGAAAGATAAAGGAAAGAAGGGAAGGAAGAAAAGGGATAGAAAAGAAGGAAGAGAGGAAAGGAGAAGGAAGATAAAGGGACAGGCATGAAAGAAGAGAGAATAGAAAGAAAGAAGGAAGAAGAAAGAGGAGAGAAAGGAAATAAGGGATGGGAAAAGAGATGGGGGAAAAAAGAAAAGGAGAAGGAATAAAGGATTGAAAGGAAAGGAGGTGGAAAGGAAGAAAAAAGAAGAAAAGGAGAAAGAAGATGAAGGGAAAGGAAAGCAGACGGAAGAAAGAAAAGGAGAAGGAAAAAAGAAAGGATTGAAAGGAAAGAAGGAGGAAGAAGACAAGGAAGGAAAAAAAGACAAGGAAGGAAGGTAAAGGAGAAGGAAGGAATGGAAAGGAGAAGAGAGGGAAGATAGGGAAAGGACATGAGAGGAAAGAAGTGAGGGGAATGGAGAAAAAAGAAAGAAGGAAGAAAAAGGAGGGAAAGGAGAAGGGGAGTGAGGAAGAAAAGGGAAAGAAAAGGAGAAAGAAGATAATGGGAAAGGAAAGCAGAAGGGAGAAGGAAGGAAGGGAAAGGAGAGGGAAGGAAAGGAAGATAAAGGAAAGGAGAAGGGAAGGAAGAAAATGGATAGGAAAGAAGGAAGAGAGGGAAAAGGAGAAGGAAGATAAAGGGAAAGGAACGCAGACTGAAGAAAGAAGAGAAGGAAGGAAAGAAGAAAGAGGAGGGAAAGGAAATGGGGGGAAAAGGAGAAGAAAAAAGAAAGGATTGAAAGGAAAGAAGGAAAGGAGAAGGAAGAAAAGAAATGGAGGGAAGGTAAAGGAGAAGGAAGGAATGGAAAGGAAAGGAGAAGAGAGGGAAGGGAAAGGAAACGAGAGGAAGGAAGTGAAGGGAAGGAGAAAAAGAAAGGGAAGGAAGGAAGAAAAAGGAGGGAAAGGAGAAGGGGAGTGAGGAAGAAAAGAGATAGAAAAGGAGAAGGAAGATAAAGGGAAAGGAGTGGGAAGGAAAGAAAAAGGAAAGAAGGAAGAGGGGGGAAAGGAAGATAAAGGGAAACGAAAGCAGACGGGGAAAAAGAAGGAAGGGAAAGGAGAGGGAAGGAAAGAAAGAAAAAGGAAAGGGGAAGAAGGAAGAAAAGGGATAGGAAAGAAGGAAGAAAGGGGAAAAGGAAGGAAGGGAGAAGGAAAGGAAGGAAAGTAGGAAGGAAGAAAAGGAGGAAAAAGGAAAGAGGGGGAAAAGAAGGAGAAGAAAGAAAGGATTGAAAGGAAGAAAGGAAAGGAGAAGAAAAGACGAGGAGGGAAGGTAAAGGAGAAGGAGGGAATGGAAAGGAAAAGGGAAGAAAGGGAATGGAAAGGAAATGAGAAGAAGGAAGTGAAGGGAATGGAGAAAAAAGAAAGGGAAGAAAGAAAGAAAAAGGAGTGAAAGGAGAAGGGAAGGAAGGAAGAAAAGGGATAGAAAAGGAAGATAAAGGGAAAGGAAAGCAGAAGGAAGAAGAAAGGAGATTTATGAAGGAAGGATGAATGAGGGGAGAGAGGGAAGAAGGGTTGAAAGAAGAAAGGGGAGGAAAGAAAGATAAAGGAAAGAAGGGAAGGAAGGAAGAAAAGGGATAGAAAAGAAGGAAGAGAGGAAAGGAGAAGGAAGATAAAGGGACAGGCATGAAGGAAGAGAGGGGAAAGGAAGATAAAGGGAATGGAAAGCAGAAGGGAAAGAAGGAAGGGAAGGAAAGAAAGATAAAGGAAAGAAGGGAAGGAAGAAAACTATAGGAAAGGGCAGAAAAGCATGCCCTACTCTTTCTGCAGGGTCTGTGCTTCCATAGTTACTCATCCTGGTGTCATTAGGAAGTGATGGACCAGGAATGGGTGGAGGAAGGAAGGCACTGCCATGGCATCTCCCCAGGCTGCCTGAGTCTGGGGAAAGCAGGATGGTGATGAGAAGGAAACAACTAGGTGAAGGAGACAAGGAATTGGTATGTGAGGAGTGAGAAGGGAGGGAGAGGAAGAAGGGAAAGAAGAGAAGGGGAGAAAGAAGGAAGGGAAGGAAGGAAGAAGAAAAGGAAGGAGAAAAAAGGAAGAAGGAAGAGAAAAGGAAGAAAGGAAAGGAAGATAAAGGGAATGGAAAGCAGAAGGGAAAGAAGGAAGGGAAGGAAAGAAAGATAAAGGAAAGAAGGGAAGGAAGAAAAGGGATAGAAAAGAAGGAAGAGAGGAAAGGAGAAGGAAGATAAAGGGACAGGCATGAAGGAAGAGAAGGGAAAGGAAGATAAAGGGAATGGAAAGCAGAAGGGAAAGAAGGAAGGGAAGGAAAGAAAGATAAAGGAAAGAAGGGAAGGAAGAAAAGGGATAGAAAAGAAGGAAGAGAGGAAAGGAGAAGGAAGATAAAGGGACAGGCATGAAGGAAGAGAGGGGAAAGGAAGATAAAGGGAATGGAAAGCAGAAGGGAAAGAAGGAAGGGAAGGAAAGAAAGATAAAGGAAAGAAGGGAAGGAAGAAAAGGGATAGAAAAGAAGGAAGAGAGGAAAGGAGAAGGAAGATAAAGGAAGAAGGGAGAGGGAAGGAAAGAAAAATAAAGGAGAGGAGAAGGGGAGGAAGGAAGAAAAGGGACAGGCATGAAGGAAGAGAGGGGAAAGGAAGATAAAGGGAAAGGAAAGCAGAAGGAAGAAGAAAGGAGATTTATGAAGGAAGGATGAATGAGGGGAGAGAGGGAAGAAGGGTTGAAAGAAGAAAGGGGAGGAAAGAAAGATAAAGGAAGGAAGGGAAGGAAGGAAGAAAAGGGATAGAAAAGAAGGAAGAGAGGAAAGGAGAAGGAAGATAAAGGGACAGGCATGAAGGAAGAGAGGGGAAAGGAAGATAAAGGGAATGGAAAGCAGAAGGGAAAGAAGGAAGGAAGGAAGAACAGGGAAAAGAAGGAAGAAAGGAAACAAGGAAAGGAAGTAAAAAAGAAAGATGGAAGGAAAAGTGATGAAGGAAGGAAGAACAGGGAAAAGAAAGAAGAAAGTAAAGAAAGAAAGAAAGAAAGAAAGAAAGAAAAGAGGGAGGGAGGGAAAGAAAGAAAGAAAGAAGGAAAGGGATAAGGAAGCATGGAAGCAAAGAGAGAAGGAAGGAAGGAAAGAGGTAGAGAAGGAAGAAAGGAGAGAAGAAGAAAGAAAGGAAAGAAAGAAAAAAATGGGAAAGGAATGAAATAAAAGTGATATATAAAATAAGTCATTGGATGGAAATTACTAATTGCATTCCAGTAACCTAAAATAACTAATTCTTTAAAGTATAAGATTAATTTAAGCGTTGAGTTCAGACAAATTGGAAGTTAACAAATTAAGTATTGTGTACATTCATTAATGAATTATTTCAAGTTTGTGCAAAATAGACACAGACTGGTAAAATATAATCACTCCATCCACAGCAGATATATGAACAAAGTGAAGTTGGTTAATTATTTTATATAGGTAATAATTTTTGTAAATAATAAATTTGATAGTAAATAAATGATACAGGTTAATTAATTAATTTAATATGAATAAAATATTCAAAGAAAGATAGAGAGGAAAGGAGGGAGGAAGGGAGTAATGGACAGGCATTGATGAGAGTAATGGGACTTCTATTTTATAGAATTGAATGGTAAAGCAAAGGTATAAGAAGAAGGGATAGAAATAAAGTAAAGTGAAAATTGGATAGGTAATAAAGATTTTATAGTAGAAAAGTACGCGGGTGAAGATAGTGAAAGGATAAGTAATATGAAATTACAGGATGAAGGAAGAGAGGGGAAAGGAAGATAAAGGGAATGGAAAGCAGAAGGGAAAGAAGGAAGGGAAGGAAAGAAAGATAAAGGAAAGAAGGGAAGGAAGAAAAGGGATAGAAAAGAAGGAAGAGAGGAAAGGAGAAGGAAGATAAAGGGACAGGCATGAAGGAAGAGAGGGGAAAGGAAGATAAAGGGAATGGAAAGCAGAAGGGAAAGAAGGAAGGGAAGGAAAGAAAGATAAAGGAAAGAAGGGAAGGAAGAAAAGGGATAGAAAAGAAGGAAGAGAGGAAAGGAGAAGGAAGATAAAGGGACAGGCATGAAAGAAGAGAGGGGAAAGGAAGATAAAGGGAAAGGAAAGCAGAAGGGAAAGAAGGAAGGGAAGGAAAGAAAGATAAAGGAAAGAAGGGAAGGAAGAAAAGGGATAGGAAAGAAGGATGAGAGGGGAAAGGAGAAGGAAGATAAAGGGACAGGCATGAAGGAAGAGAGGGGAAAGGAAGATAAAGGGAATGGAAAGCAGAAGGGAAAGAAGGAAGGGAAGGAAAGAAAGATAAAGGAAAGAAGGGAAGGAAGAAAAGGGATAGAAAAGAAGGAAGAGAGGGGAAAGGAAGATAAAGAGAAAGGAAAGCAGAAGGAAGAAGAAAGGAGATTTATGAAGGAAGGATGAATGAGGGGAGAGGGGGAAGAAAGGTTGAAAGAAGAAAGGGGAGGAGAGAAAGAGAGAAGGGGAGGGAAGGAAGGAAGAGAGGGAAGAAGGAGCCCAGGCCTTCCTTCCTTCCTTCCCTCCCTCCCACTCAAGGAGGCCTCCTGCCAGCTCAGCTCATCCCTTCTTCTATCTATCTATATCCATCCCTCCGGAAGTCCCTCACGGGGTCATTTCCGGGCAGAGCGCGCACTTCTTACACCGGAAGTGCTCCGTTTTGCGGCCTACATCCGGTTCTCCGCCCTGCGCCGAGTGGGGCGGGACCGGAAGTGGCGGCAGAAGGTGCGTTTAGAGGGAGAGAGAGAGAGCGGCTTCCCGGGAGGACGAGGAGAGACCGCGGCCTTCCTTCCTTCCTTCGAGGTGAGTCAGGCCCAGGACTCCCGCCTCCCGGCAGGCCCACAATCCGCTTTTCCTCGGGGCTCCCGGGCACATTCCCTCGGGTGTCCTCTCCTTGCAGGGATTCGAGGCTTCTTGAGAGCGAGGCCTTGGGGAGACAGTTAGAGCCGAGCCCAGGCATTCCAGTGCGGACACACACCCAGGAGAAGGCCGCCTTGGCACTCTAGAATGCCACAACAATGCTCTGCAAGGGGGGCCTGCTTGCCTTACCTAATTAATATCGTGTATATTAATATTTATTGTTTCCATTTTGATATTATATCTCCAAAATTTAGAAGTGCTATATTTGGAGATATATATATATATCTGCAAGCCTTTCGAAACTATATTATCGTATATATTAATATTTATTGTTTCCATTTTGATATTATATCTCCAAAATTTAGAAGTGCTATATTTGGAGATATATATATATATCTGCAAGCCTTTCGAAACTATATTATCGTATATATTAATATTTATTGTTTCCATTTTGATATTATATCTCCAAAATTTAGAAGTGCTATATTTGGAGATATATATATATGTCTGCAAGCCTTTCGAAACTATATTATCGTATATATTAATATTTATTGTTTCCATTTTGATATTATATCTCCAAAATTTAGAAGTGCTATATTTGGAGATATATATATATATCTGCAAGCCTTTCGAAACTATATTATCGTATATATTAATATTTATTGTTTCCATTTTGATATTATATCTCCAAAATTTAGAAGTGCTATATTTGGAGATATATATATATGTCTGCAAGCCTTTCGAAACTATATTATCGTATATATTAATATTTATTGTTTCCATTTTGATATTATATCTCCAAAATTTAGAAGTGCGCTCTATATATATATATATATATATATATATCTGCAAATATAGCACTTCTAAATTTTGGAGATATAATTTAGAAGTGCTATATTTGGAGATATATATATATATTACTAGCAGGAGCCCCCGGTGGCGCAGTGGGTTAAAGCACTGAGCTGCTGAGCTTGTTGATCGAAAGGTCGCAGGTTCGATTCCGGGGAGTGGCGTGATCTTCCGCTGTCAGCCCTAGCTTCTGCCAACCTAGCAGTTCGAAAACATGCAAATGTGAGTAGATCAATAGGTACCGCTCCGGCGGGAAGGTAACGGCGCTCCATGTAGTCATGCCATTGGCCACATGACCTTGGAGGTGTCTACGGACAACGCTGGCTCTTCGGCTTAGAAATGGAGATGAGCACCACACCCCAGAGTCAGACATGACTGGACTTAAAGTCAGGGGACGACCTTTACCTTTACCTATATATATCTGCATGCCTTTCGAAACTATATTCTGCCATAACAATGCTCTGGAATGTGTCCAGAGGAGGGCGACTAAAATGATAAAAGGTCTGGAGAACAAGCCCTATGAGGAGCGGCTTAAGGAGCTGGGCAGGTTTAGCCTGGAGAAGAGAAGGCTGAGAGGCGATATGATGAGGGCCATGGATAAATATGTGAGAGGAAGCCACAGGGAGGAGGAGGGAGCAAGCTTGTTTTCTGCTTCCCTGGAGACTAGGACGCAATGGCTTCAAACTGCAAGAAAGGAGATTCCATCTGAACATGAGGAAGAACTTCCTGACTGTGAGAGCCGTTCAGCAGTGGAACTCTCTGCCCCGGAGTGTAGTGGAGGCTCCTTCTTTGGAGGCTTTGAAACAGAGGCTGGATGGCCATCTGTCAGGGGTGCTTTGAATGCAATATTCCTGCTTCTTGGCAGAATGGGGTTGGACTGGATGAGGGCCCACCAGGTCTCTTCCAACTCTTGGATTCTAGGATTCTATCTATATCTTTATGCCTTTTGAAACTATATTCTGCCATAACAATTCTCTGCAAAGCTGTCTTATTTATAACATTATTTATTTATTTATTTTTGCCATTTTAATTTTATCTCTCCAAGGCTTAGTAGAAGTGCTATATTTGAATCTATCTATCTATCTATCTATATCTTCATGTCTTTTGAAACTATATTCTGCCATAACAATGCTCTGCAAAGCTGTCTTATTTATAACATTGTTATTATTATTATTATTATTATTATTATTATTGATTTTTGCCATTTTAATTTTATCTCTCCAAGGCTTAGTAGAAGTGCTATATTTGGATCTATCTATCTATATCTTCATGCCTTTTGAAACTATATTCTGCCATAACAAGGCTCTGCAAAGCTGACCTGTTTTACTTAAAGCATTATTATTATTATTATTATTATTGTTATTATTATTATTAATTATTTTGCCATTTTAATTTTATCTCTCCAAGGCTTAGTAAATGATTTATTTATTATTTATTTCACAGTTTTCTATACCGAGCTTCTCAACCTCATTGAGGGACTCAGCCCAGTTTCCAGCCATAAAAAACATATACACTCATTAAAATATCATATATCACAATTACAAAAACAACTTTAAAAACACTATATATAAAACTACAGTGGTCAGTCGTCCTATTAAGATGGATCTACATCAACTTCCGTCCAGGGTCCTATGGTGTTGTCTCATAGTAAAAGAGCTATATTTGGGTGTGTGTGTGTATTTACAGATTAGTGAATAATATCTTATTAATTTTCAACAATTTCTTTTCCCAAGTTTTTATTAATATTATTATTCTTTCTTTTTCCATTCTAATGTTATGTCTCCAAAGTTTAGTAGAAGTGCTATATATGGATATATGTGTGTGGTGTGTGTATATATATATATGAACAATTATTCATTAATCTCTCTCTCTCTCTCTCTCTAAGATTAATGAATAATTGCTCATTAATTTTCAACAATTACTTTCCCCAAGTTTTTATTAATATTATTATTCTTTTTTCCATTCTAATTGTATGTCTCCAAAGTTTAGTAGAAGTGCTATATATGAATATGTGTGTGTGTGTGTGTGTGTATATATATATATATATATATGTATATATATATATATACACACACACACACAGATTAATGAATAATTGCTCATTAATTTTCAACAATTACTTTTCCCAAGTTTTTATTAATATTATTATTCTTTCTTTTTTCCATTTAAATTTTATATATCCAAAGTTTGGAGATATAACAATTTTACAGATTAATGGGTAATGTGTCATTAATTTTCAATAGATGCTATATATATGTCATTAATTTTCAACAATTACTTTTCCCCAATTTTATTATTATTGTTATGTATTCTTTTTTCCATTGTAATTTTCTATCTGCAAAATTTAGTAGAAGTGCTTTATTACACACACACACAGATTAATGGGTAAAATGTCATTAATTTTCAATAGATGCTATATATATGACATTAATTTTCAACAATTACTTTTCCCCTATTGTTGTTGTTATTTCGTTTTTCCATTTTAATTTTATATCTGCAAAATTTAGTAGAAATGCTATATTTGGATATGTGTACATTTTAAAGTGTAACTCTCTCTCTCTATATATATATATGTATAGCAAAGGATGAACACTCCTGTGGTGTTTCCTTTGCTGTCTGTGCCCCTGTTCAGAAGATTTCACTTTTTGTTCCCATGAGACTGGAATTTTGGAAAATGTGACTTGTGACAACAACGATTGGGTTAAAGCTTCATTGGTGGCCCCTTTCCCCCTGACAACACTTTGAAGAGTGGATTTCCCTTCCTTCCGAGGGGAGATTCCTCTCACTTTCTGCTGTCTCGCCCCGTTCTTAACTATGGGTCGTTTGTAAGTTGGTCTGTACTCTTAGGAAGGACATCTCCTAAAATTATTAAAAACTGTTCACTTCAACTTTATCATATGGTCAATATCCATGCCACCCAAACCTCTTCTGAATCCAGTGATTGCTTTTTCCCAAACACAGTCCAACTGTTCTGCTTCTCTTTGATGGTCCCAAGATCAGATGTCCTGGTTCTGACACAACCCTCTGAAGGAATTCTGCTCTGGATCGCAGAGCTTTACAGTCTCTTCCTTGTGCTCTCTTTTGCAGAGAGTGACTTTCCTCTCCTGTTGCAATGGGTGACAGCGACGATGAGTACGATCGGAGGCGCAGGGACAAATTCCGTCGGGAGCGGAGCGACTATGACCGCTCTCGGGAACGGGACGAACGCCGGCGGGATGACTGGAGTGACAGGTTGAGTTCAAGCTTTTTTTGCGGGATTGAAAGGGAGCGTTTTGGTCTGTAGTGTAGACCAGGCATGGGCAAACCTCGGCCCTCCCTCCAGATGTTTTGGACTTCAACTTCAACTCCCACAAGGAATTGTGAGAGTTGAAGTCCAGAACACCTGGAGGGAGGGCCCAAGTTTGCCCATGCCTAATGTAGAGTCGCCCTAGGCTTTCCTGGTATCCTCCAGAGGTCTTAATAATAATAATCATAATCTTTATTTATAGACCGCCCTATCGTAGAATTCCCGCCTTGGAATTTAAGATCACCCGGAAGGCCCTGCTCTCGGCCCCAGCATCTTCGCAAGTGTGTTTGGCAGGGAAGAGAGATGTGGCCTTCTTGGTGGTGGCCCCCGCCTGTGGAATGCTCTCCCTAGCAAAATTAGGTCAGCTTTGTCCCTCCTCTCCTTCATGGTTTTGGGACCAGGCATTCAGACAGTAGGCTTGGCATTGTTTACAATGTTTGATCTTTGACATAGGACAGGCTTTGGACTGAGTCGTCAATCATTAAAACATTATTATGATGAATAATAATAATGTTTTCATGTTTTTAATTCAGTGTTTTATCTCATGCATAATGTTGTTATATTGTATTTTGTATGTTATCAGCACCGCTGTAAGCTGCCCTGAGTCCCCCTTCAGGAGTTGGGATGGATGGGGTAATAATAATAATAATAAACCTTTATTTATACCCTGCTACCATCTCCCGCAGGACTCGGTGCGGCTTACAAGAGGCCGAGCCCAAAATACATCAGAACAAAAAACATAACCACAACAATACAATACAACAATAACTCATAGCAAAGCAAAAACAATAACAAAATATAACGATGCAATTTAAAAACATGGCTGGGCCAAATGTAAAGATTAAAATTTTAAAAAATGCTGGGCATGACAGGTGAAAAAGGATGGATATTTTGGGGCAGAAATGTTGGAAATAAATACAATACAAATAAATAAATAAATGTAGAGTTACCTGCTTGCACACACACCGGTGCTTCAAGCATTAGCCCTGTTCCTGGGTTTATTTGACCTGCTATTTCCATAAGTGGCAACAGTTTCTCCCCATCAGCTGTAGTTTTGAAGATACTGAACATTTGCCATATCCCACTCTTCATCTGCTCGCTCATAAGAAACCGTGATGACCATATCTAAGAAACTAGAGCTGATGCGGTCTATCCAATGAAATATTCTGAATCAGCACCCAAAATAGCCCAAGGAACAGGCCTAAAAACCAAGGCATCAAGATTTTTTTTATTTTGCTAGAATGTGTTATCTCATCTTGTGATCCTATAAACATTTTCATAGCAAGATTTCTTCAGGGAAGATCTGCATAGCCTTTCCATGGGTGATTAAACCTCGATCTTCCAAAAACCTGTTGTAACACTCTAAATATCTCACCAACTTTCATGATACCCACAAGTCTAATGTGCCATCGAATTTAATGCGCACCTCAATTTTCAAAACCCAGAAACTGAAAAAAGTATTTGCTGCTGAATATAAAAGGTGCATTCATTTGGCCCAGCCATAGATTTTAAATGCGTTTTGTGCTATTGTTCAATGTTTATGCTATTTATGTATGAGTTTTATTTTTAATTGCTTTGTTTTAGTATTTGTATTTTGCTTTGTATTGTGGTTGTTATTTCATGTATTGATGTATTGTGGGCTTGGCCTCATGTAAGCCGCACCGAGTCCCTTGGGAGATGGTAGCGGGGAATAAATAAAGTTCTATTATTATTCTTTCTAATATGCCGATTACAGTTGCTGCCTACTTCGAATTCTTTCAATTGTATTGGAACCAAAGCTTTTAGCAATGGAAAAGAGACCTTGGGGTGCATCTCTGCTGTAGAGTGAATCCACTTTAAATGCCTTGAAATGTTCAATGCTATGGAATCATAGGTGCTGTAGTTGCACAAGGCCTTGAGCAACTCTTCTCTGCCAAAGAGTGCGGATTCCTCACCAAACTACAAATCCCAGGATTATATAGCATTGTGCTATGACAATTAAATTACAGGTGCCATCTCTCTCAAACAGAAGCTCCAGGTGCTCCTGAAGCAGCTTCCCCTTTTGCTTTGGCTCAGCACTAGGATTACCGTATTATGCAAATCTAATGCGCACCCTACTTTTGGCAAGGCAATTGAGTCCAAAAGGTTGGGCATTAGATTTATAATAATAATAAAACTTTATTTATATACCGCTCCATCTTCCCAAGGGGACTCAAAGCAATTCCTAGGTCATGTCACAAAACATACAAAGTAAAAAAACAACATAACCATAAGATTAACAAACAAAATATAAGCATAAAATTGTCTCCATAACACACATATATTAAAAGAATCCTGCTTGTTCAAGGCAATTAAAAAATTCAAAAGGCTGGGCCAAGATTTGTCCAAGTCCCAAAATTAAGTGCAATGCTATGGCAGGCAACAATAATATTAGGTACGGTCTGTGGCTATTCATTCCGGGGACGATTAGAGGAAATGATCTGGGTAGTTAGTAGGAAGAATAAGGCCGCATTAGACAAATGTGTGGGGCTGAGTTAGAACTGGTCATTTTCAAAGGTCTTCAAGCTCTTACGAAAGGAGGGGAGGGATGAGGCCTGTCTTATTTCCCTTGGAAGTGCGTTCCAGAGGCGGGGGCCAGCACCGAGAAGGCCCTCTCTCTGATCCCCATCAACCGCGCTTGAGATGGAGGTGGGACCGAGAGGAGATCCTCCCTGGAAGCTCTTAGAGCTCGTGCCGGTTCATAGAGGGAGATGCGATCGCAGAGATAGGCGAGGCCCAAACCGTTTAGGGCTTTATAATTTATGAGTAAATCCAATACTTCTTATGAATTGCGTGTGTCTTTCTTTCAGGGAGTGGGACCGGGGCCGAGAACGGCGGAGCCGCGGCGAATACCGCGATTACGACCGGAACCGGAGGGAGCGCTTCTCCCCGCCTCGCCACGAACTGAGCCCCCCGCAGAAGCGCATGCGGCGAGACTGGTCAGTCCTCGCCTTTGTCTTCTCCATCTTGCTGCTGGCACTATCTCTGGGTGTTTCCTAGGTTTCTGATTCCAGAGGGGAAAACAGCACTGACACCGCTTTGTGCAGGGCACAGCACTGGCTTCCCTCATCCTTTCTCCAAGCACCCTCTCCCATCTCATTTCCGTGCAACTCCTTTTGCAGTTCCAATAACCCAGCCTCTGGCCCAGGGAAACTTGCAAACAGACCAGGGTGGGAGTGTCTCTTTTCTACTGTTTACCCCCATTCTCTGTTGCTCTGAAACAGGCCTGGGAAAACTTGGCTCCTCCAGGTATCTTGGACTACAACTCTCACACTTCCTAACAGCCTACCAGCTGTTAAGAATGGTGGGAGTTGAAGTCCAAAACACCTGGAGGGCCAAAGTTTGCCCAGGCCTGGTCTAAAACATAAACACATTCAGCCTCTGAACAGCTTGCTTTGAGGTAGACAATCTGTTTAAATAGAACAGGGAAACAGCTACCTATGTTGGAGCGATTCTATCAGAACTGACCACCTTCTATATATTACAGCCTGTACATTTCTAATGTTTGACATCCTATTTTATTTTTTCTTAAAATACAGCATGTTTTATACTTTTTGTAATCTTCCTTTTTGTGGGTCAAGCAATTAAAACATTCCCACACAACCCCCTTTAACAATCTATATAAATAAAAAAACAATGTTCGTTTGTGGGATTAACATAACTCAAAAACCATTGGACAAATTGACAACGATCCAATGAGTGTCCATCACCCCTAAACACGCACACACACACACAAAACCCCAGCGGAACAGACTTAAAAACCCCCCAAAATACACAATATGTATACATATACACATACAGTCATATACTTATACAAATGCACACACACATACATATACACACAAATATGCATATAGACAAGCACACACATATACACAATATGCATGGACATATATAAACACAAATACACAATTATTATTATTATTATTATTACAAATATATACACAAATATACACACACATATACACTCTCATATATATATATATATATATATATATATACACACACACACACACACACACACACATACATACATACACACACACACACACAAAACACATATACACAGACTGGGCCACATCAATGTGTGGCAGGGGTCGGCTAGTATTTATAATAATATAATAAATTCTTACCCGCCTCTCGTCGTGGCTTGAGGTGGGTTCACACGAGAAAGACCTTGTCTAGTTCTCTTTCTCAAAACAACACAATCAAACAGCCAAAACGTGGTATTTCTGAGGGCCTAACCATGAGATTACCTGCTGCCATCCCCAGCAGACACCATTAACTTTTGAGCTTGCACTAATCTGTGCCTGGCCTTTTAAATTGCCTTGAACAGGCAAGGTTACTTTTAATATATATGTGTTGCGGCAACAATTTTTGTGCTTATATTGTTTTGTTAATCTTATAGTTATGTTGCTTACTCTGTTATGTATTGATGATGTTACTTGGAAACCACTCTGAGTCCCCCCCGGGGAGATAGAGCGGTATATAAACAAAGTATTATTATTATTATTATTATTATTATTATTATTATTATTATTACCAGTGGTTTTTCTCATGTATTCTAAATTCCATACTTATACATTAACATAAAATGCAGCATGTGTACTACTAATAAAATTCACAGGGGAATATACGTACATTATATACAAAGCAACTCCATGTATCAGAAGCACAGGCAGGAGAACATAACCTATATCAGTATAAGCATAGAAACACGCCAGGATCAAACACAGGATTTATTCTTGACTGAAGCTGTTTATCAAAATGGCCATTGGCTGATCCTTTGGCAGTGAAATTTCCAAAATGACGTGTAGATTCCTCAGCAGTTCCCCCACTTCATGGACCCACATCACCTGCTCCAGAAATCAGGACCAGTAACAAAACTTGCTTTCGGTCGCAACAACCCCCCCACAAAATCTCTCCTGGGGAATGTAACAGCAACACAGGGTTGGCCCCATTTTCTGGCTCCCTCCCCATTGCATCGGGGTATTGATTGTTTGTTGTGGGGCCGTCTCTTTAGGGATGAGCACACGGCAGACCCCTACCACTCCGGGTACGAGATGCCCTACACCGGGGTCTCCACGGGCCCCACCTATGGACCGCCCCAGCCCTGGGCCCACCCCGAGATGCACGTGACGCAGCACCACATCCTTCCCATCCAAGCCAGGTAAGCCCCTCTGGCCCCCGAGGATCAGACTTGGAAGAGACCCCCAAGGACGCCCAGCCAGCCCAGCCCCGATCTTTCTGCCAGGCAGGAAGGGACCATTAAAGCCCTCCTGACAGATGGCTATCCAACTTCAGAGAAGGAGACGCCACTGGACTCAGCAGCAGATGCCCCCGTCAAAAAGCTCATTTTACCATCTGAAGTTCTGAATATTTTTCTGCCATTTGAATCCATGGTTCCATTGTGTATCAGTCTCTGGAACAGCAAACAATTTATTTATTTATTTACGACATTTCTGTGCCGCCCTTCTCACCCCGAAGAGGACTCAGAGCGGCTTACAAGATATATATACATACAATATATTATTAGCATAGTACAATATCAGTATTATGTATTACTATATTGTACTATCCCATTATATTGTAATATTATTAGTAATATTACATGCAATATAAATGTATAATTATAATATATTATTAGTATTATATTGCATTACATTATATTATAAATATATGTATATACAATATATTAAATTATTAGCATAGTACAATGTCAGTATTATATAGTGCTATATTGTACCATACCATTATATTGTAATATTATTAGTAATATTACATGTAATATAAATGTATAATTATAATATATTAGTATTAGTAGTATTATATTGCATTACATTACAATATTGTAAATTTAATATTATTTACGATATTTCTATGCTGCCCTTCTCACCCCGAAGCGGACTCAGAGCGGCTTACGAGATATATATAAATACGATATATTATATTATTAGCATAGTACAATATCAGTATTATATATTACTGTATTGTACTATACCATTATATTGTAATATTATTAGTAATATTACACGTAATATAAATGTATAATTATAATATCATATTATTAGTATTATATTGCATTACGTTATTTTATAAATATATGTACATACAATATATTAAATTATTAGCATAGTACAATATCAGTATTATATAGTAATATAGTGTACTATATTGTGCTATACCATTATATTGTAATATTATTAGTAATATTACATGTAATATTATAATATATTATTATTAGTATTATATTGCATTACATTATTATAAATATATGTATATACAATATATTATATTATATTACATTATATTATTATAGTACAATATCAGTATTATGTATTATTATATTGTACTATATCATTATATTGTAATATTATTAGTAATAATACATGCAATATAAATGTATAATTATAATATATTAGTAGTAGTATTATATTAAATTATATTATTAGAATAGTACAATATCAGTATTATGCATTACTATATTGTACTATACCATCATATTGTAATATTATTAGTAATAATACATGCAATATAAATGTATAATTATAATATATTAGTAGTAGTATTATATTAAATTATATTATTAGAATAGTACAATATCAGTATTATGCATTACTATATTGTACTATACCATCATATTGTAATATTATTAGTAATAATACATGCAATATAAATGTATAATTATAATATATTAGTAGTAGTATTATATTAAATTATATTATTAGAATAGTACAATATCAGTATTATGCATTACTATATTGTACTATACCATCATATTGTAATATTATTAGTAATATTACATGCAATATAAATGTATAATTATAATATATTAGTAGTAGTATTATATTAAATTATATTATTAGAATAGTACAATATCAGTATTATGCATTACTATATTGTACTATACCATCATATTGTAATATTATTAGTAATAATACATGCAATATAAATGTATAATTATAATATATTAGTAGTAGTATTATATTAAATTATATTATTAGAATAGTACAATATCAGTATTATGCATTACTATATTGTACTATACCATCATATTGTAATATTATTAGTAATAATACATGCAATATAAATGTATAATTATAATATATTAGTAGTAGTATTATATTAAATTATATTATTAGAATAGTACAATATCAGTATTATGCATTACTATATTGTACTATACCATCATATTGTAATATTATTAGTAATAATACATGTAATATAAATATATAATTATATTATTATTAGTATTATAGTGCATTACATTATAATATTCTAAATATATGTATATAAACTATATTATATTACTTTATATTATATTTATTATTAGAATAGCACAGGAGACAAGCCTTCCCTTTCCTCCCCAATGGGTCATCCTTTCCAACATTTAAACACGGCCCTCACATCCCCGTCTCTCAGCCTTCTTTCTTTTCACCAAGCCAAACATTCCCAGCTCCCTCCGTTTTCAGACCGTTTACCATTTTTGGTGGTCCTTCTCTGGACACCTTCCATCTTAGAGTCAATCACTTTCTTGAATTGCTTTGCCCAGAACTGGACTCAGGGGGTTGTTATTCCAGGTAAAGAGGTCTCACCAAAGCAGAATAGAAAAGGACTCGGACTTCCCTTGAACCTGACGTGAGGCCCCTATGGATCCCCCTGGCTCTTCCAGCTAGACTTTTGCCTCCTCTGCCCAAAGGGCAAAACGTTGTGCTTCCATGCTGGCCTTCTTGAACCTAGATTTCGGACTGCAAAAACATTCTCCTTTTGTCTGTTCCATTGCGTTCAAGTTGTTGTTAACTTACGGTGAACTGCCATGGGGTTTTCTTAGCTAGATTTCTTACTTGAAGGTTTGGCACCATTGCTTTCCTTTTGAGACTGAGAGAGCATGACTTGCCCGACATCACTGGGGATTTAAACCAGAGTCCCAGTCCAGTACATAAACCACACAAGCTTGCACTTTATGGAGCGGATCAAATAAAAAGCTTGTGCAATCTTGGGACTCTGATTTCTGGCGAATGCTGCCCTTGGGCCTTGGCCTGCACCCATGGGCTGGAAGCTCTTCATTTGCTATTTTCCCCCAATGCTGGGATTTTTATTCCCTGATTCTGATTTCTAAGATGCTATTCTGACCTTGGTAGGTGCTGTCCTTTGAAAATTGCACTCTCTTGTGTTATTTATTGATTTATTTCTCTGCTGGGTGCTTGGAATTCTCTTCCTCTGTCTCTCCAGAAACCATTGGGGTCTGGAGCACTAATTATCTACCCATATTTTCTCAAGTCTAGTGTGCCATTGAATCTAATGCGCACCTCAGTTTTCAAAACTAAAACCAAAAGTACCGTATATTCTGGGCTACCAGACAACTTTTTATGCCTGGAAAATCTTATTAAAAGTTGGGGGTCGTCTAGTACGCCGGTATAAATTAAAATAATAAGTTAAAGAAAAAAATAAAATCGCCCTTAGTGGCATGGCTTGAGGAGGGTGGAGGGAGGGAGGGCATGGAGAGGAGGAGTGGCAGGCCGCATTGCCACAGAGACTGGGGGTGATGGCCCACTGGGCTTTCCCTTTCCCTCCATTCAAGGACCTCCTCTGCCCTTGCCGCTTACCTCCTCCGAAGGCTTGCCTAGGCCCAAGGAAGTGCCTCCAGATGCCAACTCCTAGTTGTGCTGGGCGACGGTGTGCCTTGGATGTGCTCCCAGAGGCATACTGGGAGCAGTAGTTCCCCAACTCCTACTGCTCCCAGCATGCCTCTGGGAGCACATCCAAGGCATGTCGTTGCCCAGCGCTGCTAGGAGTCGTCTGGAGACTCTTCTTTGGGCCTCTGGACGCCGACTCCTAACCGCACTGGGCGACTATGTGCCTTGGATGTGCTCCAGAGGCATGCTGGGAGCAGTAGGAGTCAGGGAACTACTGCTCCCAGCATGCCTCTGGGAGCACATCCAAGGCACATTGTCGCCCAGCGCTGCTAGGAGTTGGTGTCTGGAGACCCAAGGAAGCATCTCCAGATGACTCCTAGCAGCGCTGGGTGATGACATGCCTTGCATGTGCTCCCAGAAGCATGCTGGGAGCAGTTGGAGTTGGGGAACTACTGCTCCCAGCATGCCTCTGGGAGCACATCCAAGGCATGCTGTTGCCCAGCACTGCTTGGAGTCTGTGTCCGGAGGCCCAAAGAAGCGTCTCTGGATGACTCCTAGCAGCGCTGGGCAACAGTGTGCCTTGGGTGTGCTCCCAGTGGCATACTGGGAGCAGTAGTTCCCTGACTCCTACTGCTCCCAGCATGCCTCTGGGAGCACATCCAAGGCACGGTATTGGCCAGCGCTGCTAGGAGTTGGTGTCCAGAGACGCTTCGTTGGGCCTAGGCAAGCCCAGTGGCCTTCAGAGGAGGTAAGCAGCAAGGGCGAGGAGGTCCTTTAAACGTGAGCAGCAGAGGCATAGACTTTGAAGAGGGGGTAGCCTTAAATTCCAAGTATATTCCTAACTCAGTATTTTATCATCAAAAATTGGGGCATCGTCTTACACTCCCCGTTGCCTTGTATTCCGGAATATACGGTATTTTGCTGACAAACGTAATACGCAGTGTCCAAAAGTGCGTTCTTGGTGGTATGCCCATTACAGTTAGAATTCCTTCTTTAAAAACAATTGCTTTCTTAGAATTCCTTCTTTAAAAACAATTGTGTTAGAACACCAAGTCTTCCAGCAATGGGAAAGAAAACCTTGGAGTGCATCTCTGCTGCAGAGCGATTCCACTTTATTGCCTTGGTTCTGTGCTATGGGATCCTGTGGGCTGTAGTTTGACAAGGCCTTGAGCCTTCACTGCCAAAGGATGTTGATGCCCCACCAAACTACAATTCCACGATCCCATAGTATTGAGCTGTGGCCATGAAATGAGAGATGGAATCCCTCCAGTAGGAGCTCCAGGGGCTCCTGAAGTAGCTTCCCCTTTGGCTTTGTCTCAGCACGAAGATTATCGTATGATGCGATTCTAATTTTGTTAAGGTCATTTAGCAAAAAGAGGTGATTTGAGTAAATACAGGATCTCAAACAAGCACAATGTATATATTGAGTAGAGTAATTGTTGTGCAGAGCCCTCGATGGTGCAGCGGGTCAAACCCTTGAGCTGCTGAACTGGCTGAGTGAAATGTCGGCGGTTCGAATCTGTGGAGCTGGGTGAGCTCCCTTTGTTAGGCCCAGCTTCTGCCATCCTTGCAGTTTAAAAACATGCAAGTGTGTGTAGATTAATAGGTATCACTTTGGCTGGAAGGTAATGGTGCTCCATGCAGCCATGCCAGCCACATGACCTTGGAGGTGCCTACGGACAACGCGAGCTTTTTGGCTTAGAAATTGAAATGAGCACCACACCCCAGAGTTGGACTCGAGGAAAACCTTCAAAATTTGAAATGGCACACACACCTTCCCCTTTTCACTTTGAAGAGTAGGCAGGGCAGCCTACGTGGGAACGGAGAAGTGCAACCACGTCTCTTCTCTCTCCTTCCGCAGGTTGGGGAACATTGCGGAGGTGGACCTGGGCATCGCTCCTCCGGTGATGAAGAGCTTCAAGGAGTTCCTCCTCTCTTTGGACGATTCCATCGACGAGACCGAAGCCGTCAAGCGCTACAACGACTACAAGCTGGACTTCCGTCGGCAGCAGATGCAGGAGTTCTTCCTGGCCCACAAGGACGAAGAGTGGTGAGTCCCTCGAGGGCCGGGCCGCCCGGAGAGAGGATGGGTCTGGGGAGTGGTGGGGCAGGAGGAGACACCTGATACGTTAGATACGTTAGATATCATTTCCTTTCATAGAATAATCTTTTTGTTTTTAATGGGTGTTGCTCAGTTGAACTTCTAGATTTTGTCTCTGTGCAAGTTGGGTAGATTTCTCCTCTCAATGAACCACAACAGGCAGAGAAATCCTTGGCCTGCTTTCTAGAGGGGGACAAATTGCACACTTACCTTGACAGGCTGGTTATTAGGAACCTGAGTTGTGCAACTCATTTTCACACGTTTGCACCTCTCTGCAATGCTGGCACTGCTGAGCTTTGATGGAAGCAGAGGCTGGCCTGCATTGTACAAGTGTATTCTTCCTCCCTCATAAGAGATAGGCATTCACTGAGTAAACAGGAAAGTATTAAAAATATGAGAAAGGAAATTGAATCATTACAATCACCAGGTCAAAATAATAATAATAATAATAATAATAATAATAATAATAATAATACTTCAATGTTGTATTTCATTATTCTACTTTCACTTGACTTAGCCGATGGTTTGTTGACCGAAATAAAGACTACTGACTTAATAATAATAATAATAATAATAATAATAATAATAATATAACTTTATTTTTATACCCCGCCTCCATCTCCCTGAAGGGCTTTCAGAGTGACAAGCCCAAGGATTACAAATAAAGCAGACACATTAAAAACAATAACAACAAATAAAAAATTTAAAATCAATTAACATCATAAAAACAATACCTGGGCAATCTGAAACTGAGTTCAGGGTCAGAGTAAGTGCAATGATTCCTTGGGAGAGCTGAGGGAAAGTGCAATAGCCAGAGGGCTGGGTTGCCAGGTTTGTGCCCTTGGCCATTAAAGGGTCATAATTACAGGAAAGGGGCCAATTAACATTCCGGGGCTTAAATATGAATACTGTTGAGGTATGGCATAGCACAGCTGGATGGAATCAAGGCAAGAAGAGACAATCTGGAAGAGAAAGTGTGAAGCAGAGGAGCAAAACAAGTCCAAAGCCCACGGAGAGAGGAATAGTGGACTGGGCTTGAAAAGGAAAGCATGGGAATAATGCCCAAATGCCACCCCATGAGGTTGATTGGCATGTCTCCAGTTCCCCTCCTTCCATTTTAAGATTGTCTAATTCTCATGAGTTGTACGTCACCTTTGCTAATGACCAGGTCCTCCTGGGCCTTTGGAAAGTCAGTGTTGTTGTTGTTTCCCAGGTCCCTTCCTCCTCCTCCAGTCTAGAAATCTCCCCATGATCTCCTAAAGCAGTCATGGGCAAACTTTGGCCCTCCTTCAGGTGTTTTGGACCTCAACTCCCACAATTCCTAACAGCCTGTTAGGAATAATAATAATAATAATCCTTTATTTGTACCCCGCTACCATCTCCCGAAGGACTCGGTGCGGCCTACAAGAGGCCGAGCCCAAATACATCAATAAAAAAGCAACAACAGCAATACAAACAATAAATAAACTCATAAACAAAGCAATAAACAGTAACAATAACACCACGACGCATTAAAAACCTATGGCAGGGCCAAATGGAATAATTAAAATTTTAAAAAATGCTGGGCATGACAAGGTGACATAACTAGGGTAGGTATTTGGAGAGAGAGATGGAGCGAGCAGACTTTATGGGAGTTGAGGTCCACAACATCTGGAGGGGGGCCAAAGTTTGCCCATGCTTGTCCTAAAGGTTTCAGGTTCAAAGTTGCTCCCAACTTTTGCAAGGATTTAATGCTCAACTATCAGGGAGTGTCGAAGCTTTATTTACATATTTCACTACCAAGGAAGGTGTGCAACACACAAGCTCAGAGCAAGGAATCCTTTTTTCTCTTCTGTTCATAACGTGTTGGGTGGTCGTGGCCGTCCATCCTCTTGAGGAGAAAAGGAGTTTCAAGGGCCCAATCCCAGTGATGCTGAGCATCCAGAGTGAGGAGGCTCCAGCCCTGAGCCTCAAGAGTGTCCTCCATGCCTTTGGCCTGGAAATGGACTGGCTTTTGAGCACTGGGGGCCTCTTGTGCTTGGCCCCCCAGTGTCCAAAACTGGGTTTGTCTGCCCTGGAGCATGGAGTGCTCTCTCCAGCCTCGAGGCAGGCCAAGGATGAGGCTCCTCTTTTCATCTAATAACACAGATATCTATCTATAGCAATTGTCCTATTTAAATAAGCTTCAACATAGGTACAAGTTTAAGTAACTTCAATAGTGAAACGCACAAAATATATACGGTTTACAACATAATTTCAAAGGACATAAATAAATGAATATATCAAACTTAAAGGCAGTTCACATTGTGTTTAGTGCATTGGAGAATATGTCCATGACGTTACAACAAAAGTTCCCGTTGTGTTCCACAAACTTGAGAGTATCAAAACTGGAAACAGTTCTTGTTGCTTTCAGCCAGCTCGGGAGTCCACAACCAGGTTCCCCGGGTGCTTTTGTGTCCTTGTTTCAAGAACAAAATTCTCTTCTTCAGGCTTCTTTCATTAAATCAAAGGTAATAGTACTTCTGTGTTTTTTACTAAATTTAGAGAGGACAAAATAATAGATATGCTAAGTGGCACCCAGTTATACTTTGACAATTCCTATATAAACAACAAAACAAGGAATTTGCTTACATTAATAGCATCAATGGCTCTGCAAAGAAACATCAACAAAGAGGCCATTTCAAATGTGGACACTGCAGCTGCTGTATACAGTCACTCACAATTAAAGATTTCACACATCCTATCTTAAAATTCAAGATACAGCTAAGAACCTTTACTACCTGTCAATCAGACTCATTAATATACTTAATTCAGTGTCCCTGTGGACTTCTTTATGTGGGTAAAACAAGCAGAACCTTAAAAACGAGAATCCTTGAACATTGCTCTCGTATCAAAAACAAAGCTACAGACTCGACCCTCTACTCACACTTCATAGAAAAATCTCATTCATACACTAGCTTTAAATTCTGTGCTTTAGAGAGAATAATCACAAAGCCTCATGGAGATCAAAACAGCACTTTACTACAGAGAGAAGCATTTTGGATCTCTAAACTACAGACAGTATACCCACAAGGGTTAAATGACAAATTAGAGCTCACTTGCTTTCTGTAATCACCGGTAACGAATTGATATCCTTAAAAAGGAGTAACCTCTTGTATCTTATTGCTCGCAATTAAAAGCAGAAGCAGGCTACACTTTGTTGATGTTTCTTTGCAGAGCCACTGATGCTATTAATGTAAGTAAATTCCTTGTTTTGTTTATATAAGAATTGTCAAAATATAACTGGGTGCCACTTAGCATATCTGTTACTTTGTCCTCTCTAAATTTAGTAAAAAACACAGAAGTACTATTACCTTTTATTTATTTATTTATTTATTCATTTATTCATTCATTTATTTATTTACTTTGCTTGTATACCGCAGTTTCTCAGCCCGTAGGCGACTCAACGCGGTTCACAACAGAACAAGAAGACAGTCATATCAAAATAACAATAAACAATTTAAAACCATGAGAGCATAATATACAAGTAATGGCACATCAATAACAACACAATAACGTCTCGTAACTAGAATCGTGATCCAACTCGTCGTCTATAATTCTGTTCCTATATTCATCATATTCATTGCACTGTTTATCTGAATGCCTGTTCGCTAACGAAAGAAGCCTGAAGAAGAGAATTTTGTTCTTGAAACAAGGACACAAAAGCACCCGGGGAACCTGGTTGTGGACTCCCGAGCTGGCTGAAAGCAACACAAACTGTTTCCAGTTTTGATACTCTCAAGTTTGTGGAACACAAGGTGAACTTTTATTGTAATGTCATGGACATATTCTCCAATGCACTAAACACAATGTGAACTGCCTTTAAGTTTGATATATTCATTGATGTATATGTCCTTTGAAATTATGTTGTAAACCGTATATATTTTGTGCGTTTCATTATTGAAGTTACTTAAACTTGTACCTATGTTGAAGCTTATTTAAATAGGACAATTGCTTATTTACAGCTCCTCTTTTCCTCCCAAACACTTGGTCTTAGGGACCAGGATGGAAGAGGGCTTGAGTCCCCATGGAATGGAACGAGCCTTTGCAACAGAGTCAAAGGGAAGGCGCACTATGCATCACAGTGGCTTTTCCCTCCCTTCCTGCAGCCTTCCCCACCTGGGAGTCTCCAGGCATGTCGGACTACAACTCCCATGGCTTTGTAGTCCGACGGCTCAGATCAGTGGAGCCCAGTTGGGAAAGACGATGCCCTGGGATGCCCCTGGCTGGGTTTCCTCTCTCTCTTTCCGTTGGTAGCCATTTTACTTTCCTTTGTAGTTCTTTTGGTTTTGCTTTTGGATGTGAACTGTCAATAACGTGGCCTTTTCTCCCCTCCTCCCAAGAACCTCTCACAGGAGACTTCCAAAATCCATCCGTCCTCAGCCTGGAGAATCCATATATAAGCCAATGTTTTTGCCTCCTCCTCCTCCTCCGCTCTCTCCGCTGGGTTTTGCCTTTTTCCTCCTTAGCGTAGACAGCCAGGGCGTTCACTGTGCACAATGCAGTGACTAGCTGAGTGTGACTTGGCAGGATGTAGGCAGCGGCAGGGACTCGCAGGCGCACGGCTCCTTCTTTTGTTTTGTTTTCCAAGTCCTGCGGCCCAGCAAGGAGAGAGAAAGAGAGAGAGAGACGGAAGGGCTCCAACCTTGGTAAAGCCAAGTGGGGTGCCTTTTTTTTCCTCCTTTTTTTTTCTTAAAATCCGCTGAAGAAAACTCTCCTCGCTTGGAAGGCTCCGAGTGTGACTCCCCTCAGTGTATGTATGACGCGTTCTGTCTTCTTAAATCAAGAGCTGAGACAAAAAAAAAAAATTAAATACATTCTAAGCGCTTTATCTTTGTAATTTTGAGGTAAACAAAAAAAGTATAGAAGAAAGCGTGCTTTGGATTTGGTTGTGTTGAATGTCCTCCTGCCTCCTTTTTAACCGCCTTTAACCCCGGTTGGCGCTGCTTTTGAAAGGTTCCCCTCCTCACCCTTCACCAAGAGGCACTTTCTGGTCTCCAGAGAGTCATGGAATCACAGGGAAGCGGGGCAGAAGGGGCTCCGCATGGCCAGAGGTCCTCCATAGGGTATAGGACCCTTCCCAGTCACCCACTTGGGGATTTGGAGCATCATGAGTGCGGTGGGGAGCAAGGAGAGCGCTGGTACGCTTGTGCTAACACAGGGGTCTTCAAACTAAGGTCTGCGGGCCGGATGCGGCCCTCCAAAGTCATTTACCCGGCCCTTGCTCAGGGTCAACCTAAGTCTGAAACGACTTGAAAGCACACAAAAACAACAACAACCCTATCTCATCAGCCAAAAGCAGGCCCACACTTCCCATTGAAATACTAATAGGTTGTTGAGATTAACTTCACAATTCAGCAGCAGATCAGTTGCACAACTTCAGCTCTTTCCAGTAGCTTCTTCCTGCACAGTATTTTCAGTCAACTGCTCCCACAGCCTGCAGCCATGCTGGAATCTTTTACAGACACTTGAGCCCATGCCCGGCCATTGTCAGTTTTACCATTGTCTTTCCCCTGTCTGCTAAGACAAGTTATATCTTGTCTTAGCAGACAGGTTCTTTAATTACATATCGCCTTCGACAAACAACATCACAGCACAAGGAGAAATATACACTGTACACGACTTCCTTATATACAATTCATTTACACATAGCAATCACTGATTGGCTCCCAACTCATTGACTTAGGCCCAGGATTACATCATTCACAATCACCTGGACTAGGCCAGAACACATTCCCCAAATGATATCCTATATACAGTTAATGCATGACTCAGCATTTCCAACAGAAGCCCATTAGCAGTGCATGACTCAGCTATATTACATTGCAATACATGCACATGCCCGGCCATTGTCAGTTTTACCATTGTCTTTCCCCCAGTCTAGATGATATTACAGACTTACCACAGCACACAGTTATATCTTGTCTTAGCAGACAGGTTCTTTAATTACATATAGCTTTTGACGAACAACATCACAGCACAAGGAGAAATACACACTGTACATGACTTCCTTATATACAGTTCATTTACACATAGCAAACACCGATTGGCTCCCAACTCATTGACTTAACTCAGGCCCAGGATTACATCATTCACAATCACCTGGACTAGGCCAGAACACATTCCCCAAATGGACTAGGCCAGAACACATTCCCCACCGAGCTATATACAGTTAATGCATGACTCAGCATTTCCAACAGAAGCCCATTAGCAGTGCATGACTCAGCTATGTTACATTGCAATACATTGTAAAACCTGTATTACATTGCAATACACTGTAAAACAATTTGTTTAAATTGTTCTTCATTTTAATTATTGTATTGCTTTTAAGTGGTTTTTTTTGCACTACAAATAAGATATGAGCAGTGTGCATAGGAATTTGTTTTTTTTTCCAAATTATAATCCAACCCTCCAATAGTTTGAGGGACTGTGACCTGGCCCTCTGTTTAAAAAGTTTGAGGACCCCTGTGCTAACTGATTGGCTAGGTTTTGGTGGGGAGCAGCGCAGCAGAACCGAGACAGGTATCGTTCAGGTGTAAGCCCAGGTGAGCTTGTGGGGAGGGGCATTTAGGGGGAGACAAGGGTCAATGCAAAGAGTGACAGGAGGCAGCTTCTACAAGAGGAGAGATGGGATTTGTCTTCAACTTAGCCCAAGGGGGTGATGGACAGGGGGGTAGGTTAGTGGTGGAGGAAGAGTCAGGTGGACCAGGTAGCCATGCTTCACGAATCCCTTCCCCAAAGACTTCTGGCCATTTCTGAGGTGGGGCCCTTTCACGCCACCTAGCTATAGTACTGTGGCTCCACTTTAACCACCACAGCTGCACCCTGGGGGAATTATGGGACTTGGGGACCCCCCCCCCCCTCAACTGGACATCCCGTAGGTGTGGGGACCATAGGGCTATAATTGCGTTGTGTGAAAGGGCGCACACAACTGCTGCACCCTGGGGGAATTATGAGACTTGGGGCCCCCCCCCCCCTCAACTGGACATCCCATAGGTGTTGGGACCATAGGGCTATAATTGTGTTGCGTGAAAGGGCGCACACATCTACTGCACCCTGGGGGAATTATGGGACTTGGGGACCCCCCCCCCCTTAACTGGACATCCCATAGGTGTGGAGACCATGGCTATAATTGTGGTGCGTGAATGGGCACACACAACTGCTGCACCCTGGGGGAATTATGGGACTTGGGGACCCCCCTCAACTGGACATCTCATAGGTGTTGGGACTATAGCCTTCCCCAGTCTTGGTATAGAAGACTTCCAGTGGGAAGCTGTGGAGAATGGTCCTTTGCCCCTCCTTTGCCCAACTCAAGTGCCACTCAAAGTCTGGTCTTTCCGAACCTCAAACAGGCTGCGGAGCTCTTGTGTGGGGAGAGGGGCCTCTGCCTGCCCCAGGCCTTGGGCTTGTGGGCAAACCCTCCTCGGCCCTTGGAGCTCCCCTTTCCCTCGGGCAGCAGCCGTGTTGATTTTTGCCCCCTTTTCCTTGCCCTCAGAAAACGCAGACCCCAATGGCTCCTGGATTCTCTCCCTCCTCCCTGGCTTTGCATGTGTGATGAGTTAGAGGCCGAAGGGCCGTGCTCCCGGTCCCGGCTGCGTGTCCGTTGGGGGCTAATGCAGGTCTCCCCCTCCCTCCCCTCTTCTCTGTGTGTCTCCTCATCCTTGCCTTGCCTCCCCCTTCCTTCTTCCTCCTCCCACCCCGGATCGTTGGGCTCCCTCCAGGTTCCGGTCCAAGTACCACCCGGACGAAGCCGGGCGGAGGAAGCAGGAGTCCCACAGCGGCCTCCAGAACCGCCTCAGCGTCTTCCTGTACCTCATGGACAACGGCTGGTTCGAGGGCCTGCAGCTGGACATTGACAAGGCCACCGCCATCATCAAAGTCCTGGACGCCGGTAGGAGACCGACCCAAATCTATTGGACTCGGCCAAAGTGGAGCTCTGGGGCTTCGGGGAGGGAAGGTCTCTAGGGGAGAGACTCAGCCCCCTTTTGCACGGCTATATCACCCAAATTATCAAAGCTGATAATCCAAATTATCTGAGTCTACACTTAGATGTAGAAGGGGCCTCAGACTGGATTTAAATTTTTTAAACTATTACATTTGGCCCGGCCATAGGTTTTTAATTCCTTGTGTGCTATTGCTTATTGTTTATATGTGATTTATATTAATTGTATTGTTTTGTTTATTGCTTTCTTGTTTTATTGATGTGTTGTTGGGCTTGGCCTCGTGTAAGCCGCTCCAAGTCCCTTGGGAAGATTTTTTTTTTTTTGGTTGTGTCAGGAGCGACCTGAGAAACTGCAAGTCACTCCTGTTGTGAGAGAATTGGCCGTCTGCAAGGACGTTGCCCAGGGGACGCCTGGATGATTTGATGTTTTATCATCCTTGTGGGAGGCTTCTCTCATGTCCCCGCATGAGGAGCTGGAGCTGATAGAGGGAACTCATCCGCCTCTCCCTGGATTTGAACCTGCGACCTGTCTGTCTTCAGTCCTGTTGGCACAGGGGTTTATTATTATTATTTTTATTATTATTATTATGATTATTCTTATTATTCTTATTATTATTATTATTTACTTCCTTATATCCCATGATCTGATCCCAGATTATCTGCTTTGACCTTTTGAATGTGTATGTAAGTCAGATCAGGGACATTTTTCACCATAAATCTAGCCAAATATATATGTATATATAAGCTTTGGATTATGAGTCTGCGCTGCCAGATAATTTGAGATCAGATCTTGGGATATAGGGCAGCGTAGAAGGGAGCTCAACAAAAAGTTTAGTGTTCAAACTGGGAGAAAGGCTTCAGTGTGTTAATAGGCCTCAGTATGAGGAGGCTTCACTGTTGGTTTGCCCTCAATCTGTGAGAGGTCTCTATTCGAAGGCCTCAGTGTTAGTTCACCTCACTGTATGAGAGGTGCCAGTCTGAGAGAGCCCTCAGTGGGAGAAGGTCTCAGTGGGAGAAAGGCCTCAGTTGGAAAAAGGTCTCAGTGGGAGAGCCTCAGTGTGTTGGTATGCCTCAGTGTGTGAAAGCCTGGTGTGAGAAGTTTTGGTGAGAGTTTGTTTTCCAGCAAATATCGGGATAGTTGAAATCGCCCATGACTACTACATCTCTTTTCTGTGCCTGTTTGGTCAACTGTTGGCAGAAGACTTCATCAAGTTCTTCCTCCTGGCTTGGGGGTCTGTAGTAGACGCCTACAACGACATCTTTTTGAGTCCCAGTTCCCTTGATTCTTATCCAGATGATTTCAAGCTGGTTTCCCAGATTGCTGTCTTGAATCTCTTCTGCAGCATAAGAGTTTTTGACATATAAGGCTACTCCGCCTCCTCTCCCCTTTGTTCGGTTTCTGTGAAAGAGGTTATACCCCTCGATATCTACATTCCAGCGATAGGAGTCATCCCACCAGGTTTCAGTGATCCCTATGATATCATATTTGTGGTGTTGTGCTAAAAGTTGGAGTTCGTCTTGTTTATTTCCCATGCTCTGTGCATTAGTGTAAAGACATGTGAGCCCTGAGATCTTCCCTTGAGCTGTTTAATTGGGATTATTGTGCTTTTGGTACTTGGTCCTTGTTGTGTTTGTGCAGCCCTCCGTTTAGCCTTCTGGCGATTCCCAGACATTATGGGTAAAGTAGTGTTCGCAAGGCTGTTGTCCCCCTCCCCCAGTGGACCTAGTTTAAAGTGCGTCTAATGAGGTTTGCGAGTCTGTGAGCAAAAAGGTGTTTTCCTACTTGTGTGAGATGCACCCCATCCCTTGCCAGTAGGCCATCCTCCTGGAAAAGCAGGCCATGGTCGAGGAAGCCAAAGCGTTCCTCCTGACACCATTTTCTAAGCCAGTTATTGACCTGTACTATTTTTCTGGCTCTTGTGGGTCCGTGTCTTACAACAGGGAGGAGGGATGAAAAGACCACCTGTACATTACATTCTTTTAGCTTTGCTCCTAGAGCTCGAAAATCATTTGTGATCTTTTGAAACGTATGCCTTGCAGTATCATTGGTTCCTACATGAATCAACATGAGGGGAGGACGGTGATAGGGCGTGAGGAGCCTGGTGAGCCTCTGAGTGATATGGTGTATTTTTGCCCCCGGTAGGCAGCATATTTCTCGAGCCATCCCATCTGGTCTGGAAATGACAGCTTCCGTTCCTCTAAGGAGGGAGTCGCCTACTACCAAGACCTGTTTACTTTCGGGAATGACAGGGCCCCTTTTGTGCAATGTAGTGTGTAGGTCTCCAGAAAAGTGATCGTGTTGGTATGAATTGTGTAGGTGTATAATGGCCTGGCAGTGCCTAGAGAAAACTTTTGTTGAGAGGTGATTAGATGTCCTTGTTTGTTTCCTCTCTGTGGTTGTGCTGTTGCAATTTTAGGGTTTTTTAATACTGGTAGCCAGATTTTGTTCATTTTCATGGCGCTTCTGGGTCACACTACTGCTAATACGTTACTCCGCTGTGCATTTATGAGGAGGATCTTTTGATAATAAGCCCACTTGCTCAACTCCGCAGCCGTCATCAAGATGGAAGGAGGCACTGAGAATGACCTGAAGATTCTGGAGCAGGAGGAGGAGGAGGAGCGGCAGGAGAAGGCCGAACTGGCCAAGAAGGAGGAGAACCGGCTCCTGGAGCTGGAGCGCAAAGGCGCCGAGAAGGACGACGGCAAGAAGGAGGAGGCCAAGAAGGTAGGTAGAGGCTTCATCCGAAGAGAGACAGACAGGGTAGAGCAAGCATGGGCAGACTTGGGTTCTCCTCCCGCAATTCCTAACAGCTAGGCCCAAGTTTTAGAGCATCAGGCATGGGCAATGTGCTGTTCCTTGACTGTTGTTCTTCCATCTTGCTATTGTGGCTGCTCTGTAGGATGAGAACATATTGCTAGTGAGAAGCTGGAGGCTGTTTGGGCCTCTTCGGTGTTCCCTGACGTCCTCCTTGCTCTCTTCTCTTAGGCCAGCGATGAGGAGGCGGCGGAGGACAAAGCGAAGAATGCCTCTGAGGAGGAGGAGGAGGAGAAGCGGGCCGAGAAGAAGGAGGAGCCCGACAAGGAGGCCAAGAAGGTACCTCTCCCATTTAGTCCACTTTCCTTAACACATATTTATTTAACTGTTGAACCGATTCTATTATAATGCATTGTATTGTAAGAGTTATGTCAGGATAGGTTCCTATGAGAGGGACATTGTGCCTTACATTGTACATTACAGTTGCTCTTCCTCCCTTGAATTTCATTTACACTCTGGGTCCTTTACGTCATGCTGGCAATAAGTTAAAATAAACAGTTGCATTAAATAATTCTCATTTAAAGCCATTAAAAAACCAGCCGAGGGAAAGTGTCATATCAGTTCCCTTTTGCCTTCTCTCGGGCTTCTCCTATTGACGCAGCCTAAAACGGCATTGGCCTTTGCAGCTGCAGCATCACACTATTGGCTCACGGTCGATGAAGATTCTTTTCACAGAACCCTATAGTTGGGAGGGACCTCTAAAGGCCATCTAGTCCAACCCCCTTCATTCTGCCTTCATACAGGGAAAGCACAATCAAAGCACTCTCGATAAATGGCTGTCCAGCCTTAATATTAATATTAATAATAGAGTTGGAAGGGAGCTTCCATCTAGTCCAACCCCCTTCTGCCTTCATGGAGGGAAAGCACAATCAAAGCACCCCTGACAGATGCCATCCAGCCTTAATATTAACGTGAATAATAATAATAATAATAATAATAATAATAATAATAATAATAATAATAGAGTTGGAAGGGAGCTCTAAAGGCCATCTAGTCCAACCCCCTTCATTCTGCCTTCATACAGGGAAAGCACAATCAAAGCATCCCTGACAGATGGCCATCCAGCCTTAATATTAACATGATTAATAATAATGATGATGATGATAATAATAATAATAGAGTTGGAAGGGAGCACTAAAGGCCATTTAGTCAAACCCCCTTCATTTTGCCATCATGTAGGGAAAGCACAATCAAAGCAGCCCTGACAGATGGCCATCCAGCCTTCATATTAACACGAATAATAATAATACTAATGATAATTATAATGATAATAGAGTTGGAAGGGAGCTCTAAAGGCCATCTAGTCCAACCCCCTTCATTCTGCCTTCATACAGGGAAAGCACAATCAAAGCACCCCTGACAGATGGCCACCCATCATCCCATCTCTTTATAATCAGGAATGGGCAAACTTGGGCTCTCCAGGTGTTTTGGACTACAACTTCCACAATTCCTAGCAGCCTCAGGCCCTTTCCTTTTCCCCTCTCAGCCGCTTAAGGGAAAGGAAGGGGCCTGAGGCTGTTAGGAATTGTGGGAGTTGAAGCCCGAAACACCTGGAAGGCCCAAGTTTGCCCATGCTTGATCAATACTGTACAATGAATGAGCTTTGATGCAATTTTGACTGCCATGGTTCAGTGCCACATTGTGTTAGTTGAGGCACCAGCTGTGAGTTTCAGCAATGTGTGGGTGCTGGGCATTGCTGATGGCCGGTTTCTCTTGGCTCCCCAGAGCAGCCACAAGCGCAAGCGGAAGCGCAGCGGAGACGACAGCTACGACGAGGGCAGCGTCTCTGAGTCAGACTCTGAGTCGGAAAGCGGCCGCCCGGAAGAGGACGACAAGGAAGGTGTGTGTTATATACCTTTAGTATTATTCATTTATTTATTTACGACTTTTATATGCCACCCTTCTCACCCCGAAGGGGACTCAGAGCGGTTTACAAGATATATATATACATATGCTTATATTATTAGCATAGTACAATATTAGTATTAAATATTGCTATATTGTATTATACCATTATATTGTAATATTATTAGTAATATTATATGTAGTATAAAATATAATTATATCATATTATTATTAGTATTATATTGCATTACATTATAATATTATAAGTATTATATGTATATACAATATATTATATATCTTATTTAAATAAAAATGTAATGTTTGTTTTTGGGATTAACATAACTCAAAAACCACTGGACGAATTGACACGAAATTTGGACACTAGACCCCTAACAGAACAACGAGTGACCATCACACATAACCACCACCACCACCCCAAAAAAACAGTGGAAATATATGTATATACAATATATTATATCTATATAAATAAAAATGTAATGTTCGTTTGTGGGTTTAAGAGAACTCAAAAACCACTGGACGAATTGAAATGAAATTTGGACACTAGACCCCTAACAGACCGAGTGACCATCACTCATAACCACTACACCCCAAAAAACAGTGGAAAGGACTTAAAACCCCAAAAAAACCTAAATGACAATACAGAAAAAAAATGGAAGAGAGAGGGAAAGGAAGGGGAGAAAGAAATAAAGGAAGGAAGGAAAGAGAGAAAGAGGGAAAGAAAGAAGGAAGGAAAGAGATGGAAGCAAAGAGCAAAGGAAGGAAGGAAATAGATAAAGAAGGAAGAAAGGAGAGAAAGAGGAAGGAAAGAGGTAAAGAAGGAAGAAAGGAGAGAAAGAGGAAGGAAAAGAAAAAGGGGGGAGGGAAGAAAGAGGTAGAGAAGGAAGGAAGGAGAGAAGGAAAGAAAAAAGGGAAGGAAGGAAAGAGGGAGCGAAGGAAGGGAAAGAAGGAGAAAAAGAGGGAGGGAAGGAAAGAGAAGGAAGGATGGAAGCAAAAAGTGAAGGAAGGAAGGAAAGAGGTAAAGAAAAAGACAGAGGGAAGGAAAGAGAAGGAAGGATGGAAGCAAAACGCAAAGGAAGGAAAGAAAGAAAGAAAGAAGGAAGAATGGAGAGAGAGAGAGGACGAAAGAAGGAAAGACAAAAGAGTGGAAGCAAAAAGCGAAGGAAAGAAAGAAAGCTAGAGAAGGAAAAATGGAGAGAAAGAGGGAAGGAAAAGGAAAAGGGGAGAAGGAAAGAAAGAGGTAGAGAAGGAAGGAGAGAAGGTAAGGAAAAAAGGAAAGAAAGGAAGGAGGGAGTGAAGGAAGGAGTGAAAGAAGGATAGAACGAGGGAGGGAAGGTTGGCCACAGCAACGCGTGGCGGGGTACAGCTAGTTATTATATTATATTATTATTATATTATATTATATTATATTATATTATATTATATTATATTATATTATATTATTAGCATAGCACAGGAGCCAAGGTGGAAGTGTCTTCTGCCCCCCTCTCTCTTCACTCTGGCCCAGAGCAGCAGTGGGTGCTGGGGGAGGATTGTACAATAGGTTTGCCTGTTACAAGCAGTCCCCAAGTTACAGACAAGAGAGAGACTGTGGGTTTGTTCTTAAGTAAGTTGGAACAGGGACATTTTTTCACCATAACTCCAGCCAAATATATATATATATACTGGTGGTCCCCTGCCAGGTGTTGCTGTGGCCCAGTCTGGTGGTCTGGAAAATAAAGTAATGAGAAAGTGTTGGTTTCTAATATATGTGATTTCTTTCTGCTTGTGGGTAAACAGTACTTCTTGTTGTTTCTTTGTCAGTGTTGATGTGGAGAGTGTCTGGTTTGCCTACTCTGGAATATGCAACATATAATTGTCCTTCTTTAAGGGTCCCTTTTAAATCTATGATACTATATCTGTGTGTGTGTGAATCATATCTATCTATCTATCAATCCATCTATCTATCTACCTACCTACCTACCTACCTATCTATACCTATGGCTGGATGGGTCTTTTTTATTGCCCTAGTGAAGGGAGTTGGACTGGATGGCCTTAAGTATGGGGATTATGTGTGGGAAGTTTGCCCCAATTCTGTCGTTGGCGAGGTTCAAAATGCTCTTAGATTGTAGGTGAACTATAAATCCCAGTAACTAATGTTATTATTATTACAACTTAATTTTTTTTTGTTATGATACATCCCAACAATCAACATTTTTTTTTTTGCCATATAGGACTTATTTCAATAAACATTATTCCAGAAGTAAAATTTCCTTAAATGACATTCTATACATTCCTTAATTATGTATCGCCCAACAAACCCCCCACCCTCCCCCCACCCCCCTGGAACAGCAATTCTAAATCATGTCATTGCATCCATTTATTATTACAACTTAATGTAATTGATTGCTTCGAAGCTCTGTTCCAGATTAACAAATAAAAAGGTGTGGTTCCATCAAATTTCCCAGTTCATACCTCCAAGTGGCCAGCTACTGGTCAAACGACATTTAATCAAATACCAAGTTTGCAAACTTTGTGGTTTGTTTGTTTGTTTTTAATTCAATGCAACTTTTTGGTTCACTCCTGGCACGATAAATAAATAAATCTCATATCTATCACGCTTCAGCTGTTAGGAATTGCGGGAGTTGAATTTATTTATTTATTTATTTATTTATTTAGCTATTTTGTATCCCGGTCTTCTCCCCTCCATCGGGGGACTCGGGCCGGTTTCCAACAATAAAATCACAAAACAATCATTAAAGACATCATATAACGTATTCACATTAAAACGTTAAAACAGCAAAATGCAATCACATAATAACAATGGTCAGTCGTCATAATAAATTCGTTGTTCGTCATTCGTCGTCATCCAACCAAACACAGAAATATTGATTTACTCGTCGAAAGCCAAATTCCATAGCCAGGTTTTCACCCGTTTTCTGAACGTCAGAATAGAGGGAGCAGTTCTGATCTCCAGTGGGAGAGTGTTCCAGAGCCGAGGGGCCACCACCGAGAAGGTCCTGTCCCTCGTCCCCACCAGACGCACTTGTGTGGCCAGTGGGACCGAGAGCAGGTCCCCTCCAGACGATCTTAGTAATCTTGATGGTTCATAGGGGAGAATCCGTTCGGACAGGTAAATTGGGCCGGAGTCGTTTAGGGCTTTATAGGTTAAGACCAGCACTTTGAATTGTGCTCGGAAGCTAATTGGCAGCCAGTGGAGCTGGTGTAACAGCGGAGTAGCATGCTCCCTGTATCCTGCTCGTGTTAGCATTCTGGCTGCCGCACGTTGGACTAGTTGGAGCTTCCTTGCAGTCTTCAAAGGCAACCCCATGTAGAGAGCGGTGCAGTAATCTAAACGGGATGTAACCAAAGCATGGACCACCGTGGCCAAGTCCCGAGTTCCCAAGGTACGGGCGCAGCTGGCGCACAAGTTTTAATTGTGCAAAAGCGCCCCTGACCACCGCTGAAACCTGGGTCTCCAGGCTCAGCGATGAGTCCAGGATCACTCCCAAACTGCAAACCTGCGCTTTCAGGGGGAGTGGAACCCCGTCCAGCACAGGCTGTAACCCTATGCCCTGTTGAAGTCCAAAACACTTGGAGGGAGGGCCAAAGTTGGCCCATGGCTCCCTAGATATTTTGGGGTTTGCAACTAGGTCTCAAGAGTCTCTTTTGGGTTTGCAGAGGAGAAGCCCAAGGAGGAGAAGGAGGCAGCGGCAGCGGCCAAAGAGGGCGAGGAGTCCCCCAAGGCCAAGGAGAAGGACGGGGAGCCCAAGCCGCGGCCCCTGCACAAGACCTGCTCCCTCTTCGTCAGGAACATCGCCCCCAACATCTCCCAGGCCGAGATCGTGGCGGTGAGTCATGACACGGGATCCATTCCTGGCCAGAGAGAAGCGGGACAAAGGCACCCTGTGATCAGTGAAGGCTGCGAGGAGAGCACCCCAATCTCCATCCTTGACCACAGCCCCACACCACAGGGATTCCCAGCATGCTAAAGCTGGGATCTGGAGTCCCAAGTGTGGAGGTGCCTCTTGAGAAAGACGACCCTCTTCCTGAGTCTTCTAAGCAGGTTGGGAGGTGGGCTTTCCATTCTGACCCTTTAACCTGCCTTCCTTCCTCTCCTTCAGCTGTGCAAAAGGTACCCCGGCTTCATGCGAGTGGCTCTGTCGGACCCCCAGCCAGAAAGGAGGTAAGGCTTCCTCCCACCTTCTTTTCCACCTGAGAAAGAGGGGCAGCGCAGAGCAGTGGGTTGAGTGAGAGCAGGGTTTCTGTTTCATCCAGGCATGGGCCAGCTTGGGTCCTCCAGGTGTGTTGGACTTCAACTCCCAGCATTCCCAGCAGCCTCAGGCCCCTTCCTTTTCCCCCTCAGCCGCTTAAGCGGCTGAGGGGGAAAAGGAAAGGGCCTGAGGCTGTTGGGAATGCTGGGAGTTGAAGTCCAACACACCTGGAGGACCCAAGCTGGCCTATGTCTGGCTTAGCCCCTCTCATCCTCAGAGGAAGGCAAACCTCTGAAGAAATCCTGTTGAGGAAAAGTAGGTCACTAATGCCTCTGAGGATACTTGCCCTAGATGCAGGCGAAACGTCAGGAGAGAATGCTTCTAGAGCATGGCCAGACAGCCCGAAAAACTAACAACAACCCAGTGATTCCGGCCATGAAAGCCTTCGACAAGGCACGCTTTGTTCTCCGTCTGCCCCACCTTGCAAAACAGTTGTTTGCATAACATGAAAGCCAGGAGTGTAGAAAAAGCTAAAATTGATGCCTGATGCAAAATTGTACCAAGGCAAGACAATGTCAGCCCTGTCTGTGTAGACGTCCATCTGCCCAGGAGCTGCCTGCTCATTTCCCTTCATTTGCAGGTTTTTCCGAAGGGGTTGGATCACTTTCGACCGCAGCGTCAACATCAAGGAAATCTGCTGGAACCTCCAGAACATCCGGGTAAGGCCAAGAGGGAGGAGTTTGCGCCGTCCTTCTCCCAAACCCCACTGGGCTTTCCCCATAGAAAAAAGGGGAGAGGGAAAGGGGTGCCTTCCTTGTATGGGGGAAACCCTCCACCCCATTTCTGAGATGTTCCTGGGGGGCTGTGTGTCCAGCTATGAGGGAAGGGGGAAGATAAAAGGCAAGGTCCAAAAACCCAGCTTATTTAGGGTTTGCATCTCTTGGGGAGAAGCATTGCAACCCTTTAGTACAGGCAGAGGCAAACTTGGGCCCTCCAGGTGTTTTGGACTTCAACTCCCACAATTCCTAACCGCCTACCGGCGGTTAGGAATTGTGGGAGTTGAAGTCCAAAACACCTGGAGGGCCCAAGTTTGCCCTTGCCTGCTTTCTGCTCATCCCAGTCAGCGACTCTCTTTGGAAACATTATTTTGAAACTTCTATTTATGCTTTCTGGAATTCAATTTGGCAAGAAGCAAACCAATCCCTCCCTCCCATTCCCCCTGAAATTAATAATGTAATTTAATCCAGAATGTCAAATGCAATCGTGCATTCTGAAGTCACCTATATTATGAAATCAGCTATAAATTATCCATCCACCTGAGTGTAACTCCAGTAATTAGTTTCCATCATGTTTGTTTATTTATGATATTTATATGCCGCCCTTCTCACCCCGAAGGGGACTCCGAGCAGCTTACAAGTAAAACGTAAATACAAGATATTATATTATTACCATAGCACAATATTAATATTATATATTACATTGTACTATAGCAGTGATGGGCAACCTTTTGAGCTTGGTGTGTCAAAATTTGCCAAAAACATGAGCATAATTTGAGTGGAGTGTCACTTTGAGAAAAAAACCCCATAATTTTGCAATATTTATGGTTTAAATAAGAAAAATGTATAATCCATTCTGGAATTAGATTGGCTCTTAGAAGGTGTATTTCTCTGTATGTGGCCGCATGTGTCTGCAATATTTATGGTTTAAATAAGAAAAATGTATAATCCATTCTGGAATTAGATTGGCTCTTAGAAGGTGTATTTCTCTGTATGTGGCCGCATGTGTCTGCATGTCATCCAAAATAGCCATGCGTGTCAGTGCTGACACGCGTGTCATAGGTTCACCATTATGGTACTATAGCATTATACTGTAATACAGGGTTAGTCAAAATGAATAGGCCAATAAGAAAATTAATTTTAGACGAATGTATGTTTACTGTAACCAAACCACAGCTACGTAGCGACAGATAAACTATCAAAGTTTTTTTTGAGCAACACACATGTACGTTAATGCCGCTAGGCGTCGCTAGGGGTCGCTGTTTTCAAAATGGCGGAATCAAGCAAAGAGAAGGCGTTTTGTGTGATGACATTTGCTAAAACAATGTCAGTAATTACGGTCCAGCGAGAATTTCAAGGGTTAGGGTTAGGGTTAGGGTTAGTGTTAGGGTTAGGGATAGGGTTAGGGTTAGGGATAGGGTTAGGGTTAGGGTTAGGGTTAGGGTTAGGGTTAGGGATAGGGTTAGGGTTAGGGTTAGGACCTCAACGAACACCTTCCCAGACGTTGCTGCATTCGATGCCATTACGTCGGATGTGCTGCAACGGATGTGGAATGAACTGGACTATCGCTTGGACATCTGCCGTGTCACACGGGGCGCCCATATCGAACATCTCTGAAGGTGAGACAAAACTTTGATAGTTTATCTGTCGCTACGTAGCTGTAGTTTGGTTACAATAAACATACATTCGTCTAAAATTAATTTTCTTATTGGCCTATTCATTTTGACTAACCCTGTATTATTAGTAATATTACCTCTAATATAAGATATATAATTATAATATCATATTATTAGTAGTATTATAGTGTAATACATTATAATATCAATATTATATGTATATATATTATATTATATTATATTATATTATATTATATTATATTATATTATATTATATTATATTATATTATATTATATTATATGCAAAGTGCAGGAGACAATATGGAACTGCCTTCATGGCCCCTCTCTTCACTCGCAGAGCAGCGATTGGTGCTGTTTGCCATTCTGTAAATCCAGTTGATTGGAGGTACATTATCCCCATTCAGTTCTTGATCAATACAAGGATTTTTTTTTTCCATGTCAGGAGCGACTTGAGAAACTGCAAGTCGCTTCTGGTGTGAGAGAATTGGCCGTCTTCAAGGACGCTGCCCAGGAGACATTGCCCAGATGTTTTGATTCTTTACTATCCTGTGGGAGGCTTCTCTCATGTCCCCGCATGGGAAGCTGGAGCTGACAGAGGGAGCTCATCCGCGCTCTCCCCAGATTCGAACCTCTGACCTGTCAGTCTTCAGTCCCGCCAGCACAAGGGTTTAATCCATTGCACCACCGGGGCGGCTTACATGAGGCCGAGCCCAAACAACAAATTACAATAAAATAAAATGCAAATTACACTAAAGTAAACAACCTATCCAGTAAACAATATACACAAAATATATTTTTTTAAAAAGAAAAAGCAGTAAACTAAACATAGTGACAGTGAGCAGGCCACATGTACATTTTAATGATTGAAACTCAGGGTGAGATAAAGAGCAGAATCATTTGCGAGGGAGAAAACTCATGTGGCCTCTGCCCTTCCTCTCTCTCCAAAGCTCCGGGACTGTGAGCTGAGCCCCGGGGTAAACCGGGACCTGACCCGGCGCGTGCGCAACGTCAATGGCATCACGCAGCACAAGCAGATCCTGCGCAACGACATCAAGCTGGCCGCCAAGCTGATCCACACCATGGACGACCGGACACAGCTCTGGGGAGCCGGAGAGGCCCGGCCTGCCTCTGAAGTCTCGGTGAGTTGCCCAGCGGGGAGGAGAAGGGAAATGAGAACTAGTGGCCAATCCCTGAGAGGGTGCTCACGCTCATCTCAGATTGTCTTGCAGGAAGAGTTTGCTTCTGTTTTTGTGTGCTTCTCTGTGTAGTCTGACATGGTGGTTGTTGGAGTGGTCCAGCATTGCTGTGCTCTCAAATAAGAATCTGCTGTGTCCAGGCTGGTTCATCGGGTGCTCTGCTATGGCTGACTTCTCTGGTTGAAGTAGTCTGCAGTGCCTTTCATGTTCCTTGATGCGTGTCTGGGCAACGCTGCATTTGGGGGTCCCTATGTAGACTTGTCCACAGCTGCATGGTATACGGTAGACTCCTGCAGAGGTGAGAGGATCCCTCTTGTCCTTTGCTGAACGTAGCATTTAAACGGCCTGCCTCAGGGGAGCGTGCTCCATGCAGCTGTGGACAAGTCTACATAGGGACCACCAAACGCAGCGCCCAACCTGGAAACCATAAAAATGAACAAAATCTGCCTCCCAGTATTAAAAAACTCTAAAATTACAACAGCGAAGCAACAGAGAGGACACAATCTGGGACACCTAATCACCTCTCAACAAAAGATTGCCCCAGGCACTGCCAGGCCATCAAACACTAATCAAGGTGGTCAGTTGAAACAGTCACACCTAGCTCCAGCAGACAAGAGTCCTTTGTCCCACCCTGGACTTTCCACAGATATATAAACCCTTTTTCCTAGTCCCAACAGACCTCACTACCTCTGAGGATGCTTGCCACAGATGCAGGCAAAATGTCAGGAGAGAATGCCTCTAGAACATGACCATATAGCCCAAAAAAACCCTAAAACAACCCAGAGCATTTCTACCTTGCTGCTTTTCAAGATGGCGCTTCAGCTTTTAATGGGACTGAGGCGAGGCCCCAAGGAAGCATTGGCCAAGGTTGGGCCTCTCCTTGCAGCCCTTTGTGCCTTTAGGTCCAGGTGGTTGTGGTTTGCTTTGGGGCATCTGCTCTTTGTCACCACAGACCCCTTCTTCTCCTCCTCCGCTCTTTCAGAGCCTGCCCTCCCAGAACCCCATCCTCAAGAACATCACGGACTACCTGATCGAGGAGGTGAGCGCCGAGGAGGAAGAGCTGCTGGGCAAGAGTGGGGACACCTCCGAAGAGGCCCCCAAGGAAGGGAACCCCGCAGAGATCACGGTGGAGAGAGACGAGAAGCTGGTCAAGGTAAATGCGCAGGAGGCAGTGGGGTGGGAGAGTGTCGTGAGCAGGCATGGGACAACTTCAGCCCTCCCTCCAGCTGTTTTGGATTCCAACTCCCACAACTCCTAACAGCCTCCGGCCCCTTTCTTTTGCCCTTCAGCCGCTTAATTAATCTCTATTATCTGACATTTTCGTTTATCCGACATTCTGCTGGCCCATTTATTTATTTATTGACAGTATTTATATTCTGCCCTTCTCACCGCGCTGGGGACTCAGGGCGGATTACAAGGCACATATACATGGCAAACATTCAATGCCAATTAGACATATAACATATCTAGACAGACAAAGAGGCAATTTAACTTTCCAGCTTTCCAGCTTCATGAGGGTATGCTCGATTCTGGCCACAGGGAGAGCTGTTGCTTCACCGTCCACTTGTAATACAGAGTTCTTTGATGGAGTACTTCCTCATTCTTACGCATTATGCTGGAAGGTTTTATGGTGTTGTTAATTAGTTAAATTAGCCTCCTCATATAAAGCGGTACCTAAATTTCCTACTTGACAGATGCAACTGTCTTTCAGGCTGCACAGGTGAATAGCAAGCTGGACTAATAATGGTCAGGAGCTCATTCTGACTCAGGTTTTATGGTGTTGTAAAGTAGTTAAATTAGCCTCCTCGTATAAAGCGGTACCTAAATTTCTTTTGGGCAGCATAGGCCAACAGCAAGCTAGACTATTAATGGTTGGGAGCTTCCTCTGACCCAGACTGGCTTCAAACTCATGACCTTTCGGTCAGTAGTGATTTAATGCAGCTGACCACTAACTAGCTGCGCCACAAACTGGTCCTATGTCGGATAAGCAGTATTCTATTGTAAGTTTAAAATTGCCCAGACTTCCAATTTTGGGAGAAAAGGACAGGATAGAAATGAATATGATTATAATTCGCATTCCCCACGTGATCCTTGGGGGTCTCGCCGTTGCCCACCCTGTTGCTTTTCCCCGCCAGGTGCTGGACAAGCTCCTCCTCTACTTGCGCATCGTCCACTCTGTGGACTATTACAACAACTCCGAGTACCTCAACGAGGACGAGATGCCCAATCGTTGCGGGATCATCCACGTCCGGGGGCCCATCCCCCCCAACCGCGTCACTCACAGGGAAGGTAAGGCTGGAGCTGAGGAGGGGGCACGTGGGCAGGAATTTTGGGCATCCAATTGGACCCTGGAGCGGTTTGCCGACTTCTGACATAAACCCCAAGGAGTTTTAGGTGACAGTCTGGCTGCCAAATGGACAGTCTTGCCTGGGGGGGTTGCTTGCTGTGTCCTGGTGGCCAGTGCTTATTTCTCTGATGAGTGGGCACCTCTACATTTGGTGCCAATGCAGACATGATAATAACTCTGAATTTTCCTTCCAAGGGGTAGGTTTCTCTCACTTCCCATTGCCTCACCCCTGTTTGTAACTATGAGTTGTTTTAAGTCAGGTGTTTGTGTGGTGGAATGAAAATCACGCGTAGTTCATGCTTTAAACATTCCACACAATGTTTACAATTTATATGCATCTACGGCAGGTATTGCAAACTTCAGCCCTCCAGGTGTTTTGGACTTCAACTCCCACAATTCCTAGCTGTTAGTAATTGTGGGAGTCGGAGTCCAAAACACCTGGAGGAAGAGCTGAAGTTGGCCCATGCCTTTGTCCTCTTGGAACCGGACACTTAAGTCCATCAAGGGATCATCTGCATACTCACGTTGCAGGAGTTGGAGTTCAAAACCCTAGGACTTCCTTACACACTCTCTAAATCAGGCATGGGCCAGCTGTTGGGAATTGTGAGAGTTGAAGGCCAAAATACCTGGAGGGAGGGCCCAAGTTGGCCCGTGCCTTTGTCCTCTTGGAACCGGACACTTAAGTCAATCAAGGGATCATCTGCATACCCACGTTGCGGGAGTTGGAGTTCAAAACCCTAGGACTTCCTTACACACTGTCTATATCAGGCATGGGCCGGCTATTAGGAATTGTGGGAGTCAGAGTCCAAAACACCTGGAGGGAGGGCCAATAATAATAATATAATAATAATAAACCTTTATTTATATGCCGCTAACATCTCCCGAAGGACTCGGTGCGGCTTACAAGAGGCCGAGGCCCAACACATCAATAAAACAACAGCATAACAAATACAACAATAAATAAACTCATAAAACAAGCAATAAACATTAAAACAGTAGCAATAAACATTAGACAATAACACTACGATGCATTTAAAACTAAGGCCGGGCCAAATGTAATGATTAAAATTTTAAGAACGCTGAGCATGACAGGTGAGATGGATAGGTTTTTGGAGATAGGTGCGGTGTGCAATCTTAAATCTCTAGTAAAGTGCATTTGGGACATGATGCTTGGAGTTTCCTATTCTGGGAGGGCACACTGGAACAACCACATCTTCAAGGTCTTCCTAAAGACTGCCAACGTTGGGGCTTGTCTGATATCCTTGGGGAGAGAGGGGCCAAGTTATTTGTACCCTGCTACCATCTCCCGCAGGACTCGGTGCAGCTTACAAGAGGCCGAGCCCAAAATACATCAGAAACGAAAAACACAACAACAATACAATACAACAATAAATAACTCGTATCAAAGCAAAACAATGACAGAAATATCACAACGCATTAAAAACCTGTGGCAGGGCCAAATGTAATGATTAAAATTTTTAAAATGCTGGGCATGTCCAGGTGAAATAGGATGGATATTTTGGGGATAAGAGGGTGTGCAGACAATTCTAACTCTCTCGTAAAGTGCATTTGGGACATATGGCTTGGCCCATGCATTTGTCCTCTCAGAACTGCACACTTAAGTCAATCAAGGGCTTGCATTGGGATTGTGGCGCAGCTGGCTGAGTGTTAGCTGCATTAAGATCACTCTGACCAAAAGGTCATGAGTTCGAAGCCAGCCCGGGCTGGAGTGGGTGTCCAGCCATTGTGTAGCCCGTTGTCGACCTTTGCAACCTGAAAGACTGTTGCATCTGTCAAGTAGGAAAATTAGGTACCACCTTGTGTGGGAGGCTAAATTAACTAATTTATGAGGCCATAAAGAAAAAAGACTCCGGGGAATGTGGAATGCGGAAGAACTTCATCGGTGTCGCTGATGGACGATGAAAAGCAGCAGCTCCCCTGGCAGCCAGAAAAAAAAAAGTTGCATAGCCTCGGTGTATTGTCTGTTATATGTTGTTTGTCAAACTGGCATTGAATGTTTGCCATATATGTATATACTGTAATCCGCCCTGAGTCCCCTGCGAGGTGAGAAGGGCGGAATATAAAAACTGTAAATAAATAAATAAGGGATCATCTGCATGCCCACGTTGTGGGTGTCAGAGTCCAAAACACGGGGAGGGAGGGCCCAAGTTGGCCCCTGCCTGTGTTAGAGCCTTGGACCTTCTATTTGAGCCTTGCTTTGTGACTCACTCCCGGATCCTCTGCTTTGCTCTTTAGTGGCCGAGTGGCAGAAGACCTTTGAGGAGAAGCTGACCCCGCTGTTCAGCGTCCGAGAGTCCCTCTCCGAGGAAGAGTCCCAGAAGATGGGCAAGAAGGACCCCGAGCAGGAAGTGGAGAAGTTTGTCACCGCCAACACCCAGGAGCTGGGCAAAGACAAGTGGCTGTGTCCCCTCAGCGGGAAGAAGTTCAAGGTGTGGCCCCTTTTCCTTCGCTGCAGGGCAGTCTGCCACGGGGCGGGCAGGAGACGGGCTTTTCAAGGACACGGTTTCTCTCTTTCTCCCGCCGACAGGGTCCCGAATTCGTGCGGAAGCATATCTTCAACAAACACGCAGAGAAGATCGAGGAGGTGAAGAAGGAGGTGGCGTTCTTCAACAACTTCCTGACGGACGCCAAGAGGCCCGCACTGCCCGAGCTCAAGATGAACCAGCCCCCCATCCCAGGACAAGGTCAGCGGGAAAGGAGTATTCTTTGATTGTGCTTTTCCTGCATGGCAGGGGGTTGGACTAGATGGCCCATGTGGTCTCTTCTAGCTGTATGATACTATGAGGGGCGTCCATTAAAGATTTCCCCTGACCCACTTCTGTTTGTCACAGGATGCTGAAACTGCACATGTGTAAAGATATAAGTCTCTATAGGTTACGTGCCAATTTACAACCCAGGACTGAGAACATGTTGGGGATTCCTCATCTTCGGAAGAGGAAGGGGAGCAGGGAAGTGCTCAGGAATTGGAGGGAGAAGAAGAATCAGACGAGGAGGGTTTGAACATGAGCCAACAATGTGATGTGGCAGCAAAAAAGCCAATGGGATTTTGGCCTGCATCAATAGGAGCATAGTGTCTAGATCTAGGGAAGTCATGCTCCCCATGCTCTATTCTGCCTTGGTTAGACCACATTACCTGGAATATTGTGTCCAATTCTGGGCAACACAGTTCAAGAGAGATATTGACAAGCTGGAATATGTCCAGAGGAGGGCGACTAAAATGATCAAGGGTCTGGAGAACAAGCCCTATGAGGAGTGGCTTAAGGAGCTGGGCATGTTTAGCCTGAAGAAGAAAAGGCTGAGAGGAGATATGATAGCCATGGATAAATATGTGAGAGGAAGCCACAGGGAGGAGGGAGCAAGCTTGTTTTCTGCTTCCTTGGAGACTAGGATGCGGAACAATGGCTTCAAACTACAAGAGAGAAGATTCCATCTGAACATGAGGAAGAACTTCCTGACTGTGAGAGCCGTTCAGCAGTGGAACTCTTTGCCCCGGAGTGGTGGAGGCTCCTTCTTTGGAAGCTTTTAAACAGAGGCTGGATGGCCATCTGTCAGGGGTGATTTGAATGCAATATTCCTGCTTCTTGGCAGAATGGGGATGGACTGGATGGCCCAGGAGGTCTCTTCCAACTCTTTGATTCTATGATTCTATGAAAGTGCCCACATTTCTAGAGAGATGAAAGACAGAGCACAGATGGCATTCAGCCAGAATAGCTGCTAAAAATGCTGAGCTAATTGGGAGACTCCCTAGCACCTCCTGCATGGGGAATTCAAGGCTATAAATCAGTAGCAGGAGCAGTCAGCTTTTGCTGGTAACAACGATCCTGATACTGATGTTTTCACTCCAATGGAACTTGCTTTGTGTCTGCTGCTAAGGACTTAGTTCATTGCCCATTGTCTGATGGAAGACTGGTGTTTTGTTTGGGACTTTGTAAGAGACTTTAATTTGTGTCTGGGTTAAGACTTCCTTGCTTCCTTTTGCACTTTTCAATTGCATTTGCTCATCCTTTGTGTTGTTGAAGTAAAGCATTTTTCTTTTACTTTCAATGTTGACTAATGAAGGCTGTTTTTGAAGGGCAATTCAGGACAGGACAGGCTTCATTTTACTATAGGTGTGGAAGTGTTGTGAGGTTTGAAAATGGACCCAGTGGAATACAGAGCAGTCCTCAAATTACTTTCCTTGAAAGGCTGCACACCAAAGGAGACGTTCGATGAGATGAAAGAGGTTTATAGGGATTTTTTGTGTGTCAGGAGCGACCTGAGAAACTGTAAGTCGCTTCTGGTGTGAGAGAATTGGCCGTCTGCAAGGACGTTGCCCAGGGGACGCCTGGATGATTTGATGTTTTTATCATCCTTGTGGGAGGCTTCTGTCACGTCCTCGCATGAGGAGCTGGAGCTGGTAGAGGGAGCTCATCCGCCTCTCCCCGGATTTGAACCCGCGACCTGTCGGTTTTCAGTCCTGCCGGCACAGGGGTTTAACCCACTGCGCCACCGCGGGCTCTTTATAGGGATGATTCCCCATCATATAATGTCAGGAACTGGCCTCATCAATTCCAGTGTGGTCGGACTTTGGTGGAAACTGCTCCCATTCCAGGGCAACCCCACTTTGCTATTGAGGAACATACCATCCAGCAAGTGGAGGGCGCCATTTTGGAACATTGCCGTGCAACCATTGGCCACCTAGCCCAAAATATCAAGATGGTCCATGGGGGGAAAAAATTAACCAAGACCGTCTTCACATGCATAAGGTATCCGCTTGCTGCTCACACCTTTCCAGAAGAAGGAACAGGTCGAATCCTCTCTGGCTCTCTTGACAACGATGTACCAAGGAAACCAGGAGGACTTTCTCAACAGACTGATCAGACAGAAGGAAAACTGGGTCCATCACTCTGATCCTGAGACTCAAGTCCAGTTGATGCAGTGGAAGCATCATGCCTCACCGCCTCCAAAGAAGGCACGGGCCCAACTCTCGGCAGGAAAGGTCATTCTCCGGGATTTTGAGACAAGCGTGGAGTAGGATGGATGGCTTTCCTAGGAAAGGGTCTTATGATCCCTGGGGCAGACTAGGCTTCACTGCTGTGAACATTGTGGGAATAAAAACCAAGAACAATGTGGCATGCTCCCCAAAGATGTCCTTTGCCTTCTGTAAGACAATACATTAGTTCACAACTCACCTGTTGCTCAAATGGAAAAAGCATGCTCCTCTGGCTTTGAAATTCTACCACATCCCCCTGATTCACCCAACCTCGCACCACTGGACTTCCACCTATTTCCAACAAGGAAGTCATTTTTGAAGGGAAAGCATTTCTCAGGTGATGAGACTCTGATTTCTGAAGTCACCGTGTGGCTTTTGGAGCAACCTGTCAACTTCAGTTGTTGTTCATTTGTTCAGTCGTTTCCAACTCTTGGTGACCTCCTGGACCATCCCACGCCAGAGCTCCCTGTCTTCTGTCACTACCCCCAGCTCCTTCAAGTTCAATCCAGTCACTTCAAGGATGCCCTCCATCCATCTCGCCTTGGTCGGACCATCTTTTTCCTTCCCTTTCCTCCAGCATCATTGTCGTCTCTAAGCTTTCTTTTTTTCTCATGATGTGGCCAAAGGACTTCATCTTTGCCTCTCATCTCCTTCCCTCCGATGAGCAATCAGGCTTTATTTCCTGAAGTATAGACTGGTTGGATCTTCTCGCTGTCCAAGGCACTCTCAGCACTTTCCTCCAACACCACAGTTCAAAAGCATCTCTCTTTCTTCGCTCAGCCTTCCTTCTGGTCCAGCTCTCACATCCTTAGGTGACTATGGGGAAGACCATTGCTTTGACTATGTGGATCTTCGTTGCCAGTGTGATGTCTCTACCCTTCACTATTTTATTGAGATTGGTCCTTGCTCTCCTCCCAAGATGTAAACATTTCCTGAATTCCTGGCTGCAGGCTGCGTCTGCAGTCATCTTTGCACCTAGAAATACAAAGTCCATTACTGCCTTCATGCTTTCTCCCTCTATTTTCCAGTTGTCAATCATTCTTGTTGCCATAATCTTGGTTTTTTATGTTTAGCTGCAACCCAGCTTTTGTGCTTTCTTCCTCCACCTTGGTGAGAAGGCTCCTCAGCTCCTCCTCGCTTTCAGCCATCAGAGTGGTATCATCTGCATATCTGAGGTTGTTAATGTTTCTTCCAGCAATTTTTACCCCAGCTTTGCATTCGTCAAGCCCTGCACATCCTCGCATGATGTGTTCTGCATACAAGTTGAATAGGTTGGGGGAGAGGATACAACCCTGTCGTACGCCTTTCCCAATCTTGAACCAGTCTGTTGTTCCATGGTCCGTTCTGACTGTTGCTACTTGGTCCTTATACAGATTCCTCAGAAGAGAGATAAGGTGATTTGGTATGCCCATCCCACCAAGAACTTGCCACAAGTCAACTTCTACAAGCTTAAAAGATAGGATAAGTGTGTGTCCCTATGTGGCACCCATGGAGAGAAGAAGGTCTCAGAACTGGGTCAAGTTTCATTGCTCTCCGTCCACAGGAAGTGGGTCAGGGGACATCTTTAATGGACGCTCCTTGTATAAGAAATGATGGTCAGAATCACTTCCCACATGAGAGCCACTCTTCTGGGGACTCCTAATTTGTAGCAGAGTTGGCTCGGTAATGCTGAGAACTGGGGATCCCCCTTAAAAATAACTTTTCTTAATTCTGTGGTGAGTTTACCCTTCCTAGAAAAACTTTCCAAATCTCTCTGGGTTCAGTCAGTAGAAATAGTCTTGTGGGAGAATCCGGTGGATAAAGGAGGATATTTTTCATACTGTTTTTTTTATCACATTTTGTTTTTGGCGGTGGTCCTGAGTGCGTTTGCACATTCAGATCTCGTGGGCATGTTCGGGCCTTTCCTCTCGGCCGCTGCCGCTCATTGCCTTGCCTTCTCTCTTTGCAGGCCTGGCCCCCGGGTTGCCTTACCCTCCGCAGGCGCCCCAGGGCTTGATGCCCTACGGACAGCCCCGGCCCCCAATCCTGGGATACGGAGGTACGTCTTCGGGTCCAGAGCTGGCAGAAGATGTTTTTGGAACTATACGTAGACCTTTTTGGACAGCAGGGCAGTTTAGGGAACCACTCTGAGTCCCCTTGGGGAGATGGAGCGATATATAAATAAAGTATTATTATTATTGGGTTGTTGTAGGTTTTTTCGGGCTATATGGCCATGTTCTAGAGGCATTCTCTCCTGACGTTTCGCCTGCATCTATGGCAAGCATCCTCAGAGGTAGTGAGGATATTATTATTATTATCATTATTATTAGGGGGGATAATGTAGGAAGCGTAGCACACAAAGTATAACTTTCCAAGTTCTAAGAGGCTGAGGAAGCAAATGGTTGGTCATGCGGCCTGTTAAATACTCTCGAATCTTTCTCTTGTGCACACCATTCCGGAGATGCGTCATCTGCTATGGCACTTGGACATTCAGTTTGATGATGTGGATTCTTGTATTGCAGGCATGGGCCAACTTTGGACCTCCCTCCAGATGTTTTGGACTTCAACTCCCACCATTCCTAACAGCCTCAGGCCCCTTCCTTTCCCCCTCAGCCACTTAAGCTAGATGATAGAGTGATAGACCTAAAAGATGCCTACCTTCAGGGACGGCTCGTCCATTATGCGAAGTAAGCGGTCGCAGAACACTTTTTTTGCCAGGGGCGCAGAGGCGCCTCTGTAAATGCCCCTCGACCGCCACTTGAGGAGCGCCCCCTCAGCTCACAACAGCCCTAGCAGTCCGGGGGGAGACTCGGCTTTCTTCCCTCACTGCCGGGTGATCCTCAGGCCCTTGAGCCTCGCTTAGCCCCTCTCGTTCCTGCTCCACCTGGTCACCAGGTGCGCGAGCAGAGCCGCGCACCCGGCTCTCTGCGTTCGATCCCTTCTCCATGACCGGCTCCCTTTCCCGATCCCCCGGCGCTCCACCCACCTCCTCTCCTCTCCCCAATCTGCGGGTGGGCCAAGGGGTGGAGCCGCCGTGCCTGGCCCACTTTGGGTCCTGAGGCGTGTCTGAAGACCCCAGCGTGCGCACCAAAAGTCGCCTCTTCTCCTGACTTTCTCTTCAGCCATTGGGACCAAGAGGGAGAGAGAGAGAGAGAGCCCCTCCGGCTGGAGGTATCTCCCACCTCCGCTCCCTCCTTTGTTTTTGCACCTACCTTCAGGAAAGGTGGGCATCTCCACCTCTCTCTCTCTCTCTCTCTCTTGGTCCCAATGGCTGAGGAGAAAGTCAGGAGAAGAGGTGACTTTTGGTGCACACGCCGGGGTCTTCAGGCACGCCTTCGGACCCAAAGCGGGCCAGGCAAGGGAGCAAATGCGGCAAGTGTAGTTACTGGGATGTATAGTTCACCTACAATCAAAGAGCATTCTGAACTCCACCAATGATGGAATTGAACCAAATATGGCACACAGAACTCCCACGACAAACAGAAAATATATATCAATGATTGGTTGGGGGGGGGGGGAGCCAAAATACTGTTTGCTTACCGTTGAAAATTACCTAGGGCCGCCTCTGCCTACCTTCATATCCCAACAAATAGATATAACGCTTAAACAGCTGAGGGGGAAAAGGAAGGGGCCTGAGGCTGTTAAGAATGGTGGGAGTTGAAGTCCAAAACACCTGGTGCACCAAAAGTTGGCCCAGGCGTGGTTTAGTGGCACATATTCCTTGCAAAGTCTTTTTATGAACCAGCAAGAATCCAAGTGACGAGGCTGCTTCTGTGGTGGAGCCCACGCATTTCACATCCATCCCTCTTGCTCTCTCTCTGTGTGCAGGCGGACCCCCGTACCCTCCCACCCCCTATGCAGCCGGACGAGGGAACTACGACACTTTCCGGGGGCAAGGCGGGTATCTGAACAAACCACGAAACAGGTAAGTTTGTAAGGAGGAGGTGGCGCAAGGGGAAGCAACCCCACGTAGTGTTTTAGAATTGTTTTTTATCCTGTACATGTGGCCTGCCCATTGTTGTTGTGATTGTGCTTATTGGAATGTTATTTTATGACTGGGGGGGGGTTTTTTAAATGTAATTTGATGATGTTGTTTATTGTTTACGATCTGGTTTTATTTTGTTGTAAGCCGCTCCGAGTCCCCATTGGGGAGATGGAGGCGGGGTATACATAAAGATTATTATTATTATTATTATTATTATTATTATTATTATTATTATTATTATTATAGAATCATATAAACAAAGAGTTGGAAGAGACCTCTTGGGCCATCCAGTCCAGCCCTATTCTGCCAAGAAGCAGAAATATTGCATTCAAATCACCCCTGACAGATGGCCATCCAGCCTCTGTTTAAAAGCTTCCAAAGAAGGAGCCTCCACCACACTCCCTCCGGGGCAGAGAGTTCCACTGCTGAACGGCTCTCACAGTCAGGAAGTTCTTCCTCATGTTCAGGTGGAACCTTTCTTGTAGTTTGAAGCCATTGCTCCACGTCCTAGTCTCCAGGGAAGCAGAAAGCAAGTTTGCTCCCTCCTCCTCCCGTGGCTTCCTCTCACATATTTATACATGGCTCTCATCATGTCTCCTCTCATCCTTCTCTTCTTCAGGCTAAACATGCCCAGCTCCTTAAGCCGCTCCTCATAGGGCTTGTTCTCCAGACCCTTGATCATGTTAGTCACCCTCCTCTGGACACATTCCAGCTTGTCAATTATCCTGTTTTCAGCAGCAAACTACAACCAGATGCCATTTTCTGATTAGTACAGTTTTCTGGGTTTGTTCAATTCGTTCTCAGTCATTGTTGGCAGCTGGTGGTCCGAAATGGTGGGGGGATTTGTGGTCCTTTTGCTGAGGGACCCTCAGGCTCCTAGATAGATAGATAGATAGATAGATAGATAGATAGATAGATAGATAGATAGATGGTAAAGTAAAGGTAAAGGTTTCCCTTTGACATTAAGTCTAGTTGTGTCCGACTCGGTGGTGGTGCTCATCTCCATTTCTAAGAAAAAAGAGCCGGCGTTATCCATAGACACCTCCAAGGTCATGTGGCCACCATGACTGCATGGAACACTCTTACCTTCCCGCAGAAGCACTATCTATTGATCTACTCACATTTGCATGTTTTCGAACTGCTAGGTTGGCAGAAGCTGGGGCTAACGGGTACTGCTCCAGCAGGAAGGGGACTCCATGCAGTCATGCCAGTGGCCACATGACCTTGGAGGTGTCTATGGACAACGCCAGCTCTTTGGTTTAGATATGAACACCTCAGTCCCAGAGTCAGACACAATTGGACTTAATGTCAAGTAAAAAACTTTACCTTGGCAATTTAAGACTGAAAAAATGGTTCAGGGTAATAGCTGCTAACTTTTGCATGTTTTCGAACTGCTAGGTTGGCAGAAGCTGGGGCTGACAGCAGGAGCTCACGCCGCTCCTTGGATTCAATCCGCCAACCTTTCAGTCAGCAAGTTCAGCAGCTCAGTGGTTTAACTTTCTGCACTCCATACACACACACATATATGGCAAGTGCACATGTGGAAGAAGGACCTGAAAAGCCCATTACTAAGAAAAAAGAGCCGGCGTTATCCATAGACACCTCCAAGGTCATGTGGCCAGCATGACTGCATGGAGCACCGTTACCTTCCCATAGATAGATAGATAGATAGATAGATAGATAGATAGATAGATAGATCTGAGTCCTCCAACAGCTACCTATACCCAGTTTTCCCAAGAGCAACACTGTAGGCCTCCATGGCTGGCTAAAAGGGGAGACCCTTTGTTGGGGTACACTTCTGTCTTTGGGGTAGGTGGGCTCCCAAGGGATGCATAGCACCGTATAGCCCAGGCATGATTCCTTTTGCATCCCAATAACTATAAACCAGTACAAACAAGTACTACAAAGTAAACATACTACCCTGAACCATTTTTTCAGTCTTAAATTGCCACGGTAAAGGTTTTCCCTTGACATTAAGTCCAGTTGTGTCTGACTCTGGGACTGTGGTGTTCATCTCCATTTCTAAGCCTAAGAGCCAGCGTTGTCCATAGACACCTCCAAGGTCATGTGGCCAGCATGACTGCATGGAGTCCCCTTACCTTCCTGACGGAGTGGTACCTGTTAGCCCCAGCTTCTACCAACCTAGCAGTGTGAAAACATGCAAATGTGAGTAGATCAATAGGTACCACTCCGGCAGGAAGGTAAGGGGACTCCATGCAGTCATGCTGGCCACATGACCTTGGAGGTGTCTATGGACAACACCGGCTCTTCGGCTTAGAAATGGAGACGAGCACCACCCCACAGAGTCAGATACGACGGGACTTAATGTCAGGGATTTATTTATTTTTTTTGTCGTCTCAAGAGCGACTTGAGACACTGCAAGTCGCTTCTGGTGTGAGAGAATTGGCAGTCTACAAGGACGTTGCCCAGGGGACGCCTGGATGTTTTTTTTTTATATTTTACCATCCTTGTGGGAGGCTTCTGTCATGTCCCCGCATGAAGAGCTGGAGCTGATAGAGGGAGCTCATCCACGCTCTCCCCGGATTCGAACCTGCGACCTGTCGATCTTCAGTTTAACCCACTGTGCCACCAGGGGCTCCTATTGATCTCACATTTGCATGTTTTCGAACTGCTTGGCAGAAGCTGGGGCTAACAGTGGGAGCTCACCCCACTCCCCAGATTCGAACCTGTGATCTTTCGGTCAGCAAGTTCAGCAGCTCAGCGTTTTAACCCACTGTGCCTCCGGGCGCTCCTCTAAATTGCCAAGCTAAAACATAAACCAGCCAGCAAGGCCTACCAAACGCAAACATACTTCTTTGTGATGCTAACAAGGACTCCAAGTCCCATCTGCCTGGGTCTCTCTCTCCCCCTCCGCTTCCATTCACCGGCCCTCTTTCTCCGCAGGATGGTCCGAGGAGACCCCCGGGCGATTGTCGAGTACCGAGACCTGGATGCCCCGGAAGACGTCGACTTTTTTTGAGCGAGAGTCCTCCTGCCCGGTTGAGTTTCAGTTTATTTCCCTTCCCCTCCTATTGCTTTTTTTTTTACACAACATTGCCCCCCCTCCTTCCTCCCTTCTATGCATTTGTCTCCCCAACTCAGTGCACACTTTTGGCCCGCGTCCTTTGTGTGTATGCTGCTTATGTTTTATCTCCGGTATGTATGTCAATAAACCCCTCAAGTGAACTCTTGTCTTGTGGGCTCGGTGCAGTGATGTGATCACATATCCGGCTTGGCCGAAGATCCAGATGGTTTCCTGACCATCTCTGGAGAAAGCTGGGATTGAATTAAGAGCAACCACCAAGTCGTCGTTGTTGTTGTTATTCTCAGTTTCACTCACTACCGGCTGTTTCTGAATGTTGTTCCCTGATGGTGAACCTATGACACGTGTGTCAGCACTGACACGCGTAGCCATTTTCAGTGACACGCGGCAGCATGCGGCCGCATACAGAGAAGTATGGGACAGCATGCCAGGTAGAATCTAGAATCAAAGAGTTGGAAGAGACCTCCTGGGCCATCCAGTCCAACCCCATTCTGCCAAGAAGCAGGAATATTGCATTCAATTCACCCCTGACAGATGGCCATCCAGCCTCTGTTTAAAAGCTTCCAAAGAAGGAGCCTCCACCACACTCCCTCCGGGGCAGAGAGTTCCACTGCTGAACATAGAATCCTAGAGTTGGGAGAGACCTCCTGGGCCATCATCCAGTCCAACTCCATTCTGCCAAGAAGCAGGAATATTGCATTCAAATCACACCTGACAGATGGCCACCCAGCCTCTGTTTCAAAGCCTCCAAAGAAGGAGCCTCCACCACACTTTGATGTAGAGAGTTCCACTGCTGAAGATAGAATCCTAGAGTTGGGAGAGACCTCCTGGGCCATCATCCAGTCCAACCCCATTCTGCCAAGAAGAAGGAATATTGCATTCAAATCACCCCTGACAGATGGCCATCCAGCCTCTGTTTAAAAGCTTCCAAAGAAGGAGCCTCCACCACACTCTGGGGCAGAGAGTTCCACTGCTGAACGGCTCTCACAGTCAGGAAGTTCTTCCTCATGTTCAGATGGAATCTCCTCTCTTGTAGTTTGAAGCCATTGTTCCCTTGCGTCCTAGTCTCCAGGGAAGCAGAAAACAAGCTTGCTCCCTCCTCCTCCCTGTGGCTTCCTCTCACATATTTATACATGGCTATCATATCTCCTCTCAGCCTTCTCTTCTTCAGGCTAAACATGCCCAGCTCCTTAAGCCGCTCCTCATAGGGCTTGTTCTCCAGACCCTTGATCATTTTAGTTGCCCTCCTCTGGACACATTCCAGATTGTCAATATCTCTCTTGAATTGTGCTCAGAATTGGACACAATATTCCAGGTAACGTGGTCTAACCAAAGCAGAATAGAGCATGGGAAGCAGGACTTCCCTAGAACTAGACACTATGCTCCTCTTGATGCAGGCCAAAATCCCATTGGCTTTTTTTGCCGCCACATCACATTGTTGGCTCATGTTTAACTTGTCCACGAGGACTCCAAGATCTTTTTCACACGTACTGCTCTGGAGCAGTAGCCGAGGATGAAACATTTGCTGCAATGTAGTGTGGTCACTCTGTACCGGAGGTCTGTAGGCCAATACAAAAGAACTCCGGCACAGAGCGTCTAATTCTGGGACTTCCAGTTAGGCTGTTAGGGGATCTTTGACCTCACTTCCGGCCAGTGGAGCAGGGAGCAGTGCAATGCTGCGGGGAACGCATCTCTGGGGGCCCTGTGATCGCCAGCAACCACTTAACCACAGCAACCATCATCCAATCTACTGTTCTGGGGTGTTGTGGATTTCTAATTGACCATCATTACCGAGATAAGTGAGGGGAACGCTGGAAGAGGCCAGGGCCTGTGCTATGGGTGCCATTTCCCACCGTTAGAAATAGCGGCAGCCATCTTAATTTACATAAACAACGCCATCTTGCAGCATAGTACAGACTCCATTTCACCACTATTACTGTTGTGCATCCTTATGATCCCCTATTTCTGCTTATTAACTTCCTAAAAGACAGTTACATGTGCCATCTTGTGGTTAGTTAGGCTAGTTAACTCCTCTAACTGCCCAAAGCAGGGGTCCTCAAACTTTTTAAACAGAGGGCCGGGTCACAGACTCTCAAACTGTTGGATGGCCGGATTATAATTTGAAAAAAGCATGAATGAATACTTCTTCACACTGCACATATCTTGTTTGTAGTGCACTTACACTTGTAGTGCGCTTACAGCTTCAGAACTGTCTGCTCAGGCGCAGAAACTACCATATGTGCGAATTCTCAGGTGACCACTCGGGAAACTACGGTTACAGGTGAGCAACCTATGTTAGCAGTCACTGCAAAGAGATTCAGCTTCCTCTGTGTGGTCCTGTGAAATGCACACATATATGGGTTTCTGCGCCTGCGCAGTTTCAGAACTTTCTGGAATTAAAAAGATACTTTTTGGCGGTAGCCCCGCCCATTCTCCCCTGATAATATAAATAGCCAGTAGGCGGGGCTGCCGCTCCAGTTCTTTCTTTCCGCCACGAGCAGCTGTCTTAGACTAGCTTTGTTTTCTTACCTACGGCCTTTTGGACTTTGACTGGACTTTGACCACTCTTGACTTACTGATTTGGACTTTAGCAACCTTGGGCGGTGGCGGCAGGAGGGCCTGCTCGTAAAACAGAGACAAATCAGCCTATGTTTGTGGGCTGGGGGGGTGGGTAAAGGACTGGCAAATGGGGCAGGATTGCACCGCATGGCCTTCCCTTAAGCACAACAGGCAAATGGAGTGTGCATCCGTGTCTGGGTATTTCCCCCCGCCCTGGGAGCACTTTTTAAACACAGCCGCCATTGTAAGGGAGCCAAGTAAGGGAGGAGGGAAAAACACAAGCCTGAGAAGAACTTCCTGACTGTGAGAGCCGTTCAGCAGTGGAACTCTCTGCCCCGGAGTGTGGTGGAGGCTCCTTCTTTGGAAGCTTTTAAGCAGAGGCTGGATGGCCATTTGTCAGGGGTGATTTGAATGCAATATTCCTGCTTCTTGGCAGGGGGTTGGACTGGATGGCCCATGAGGTCTCTTCCAACTCTTTGATTCTATGAGAGTCGTCAAAAACAGTCTGAGGTCGGTCGAGAGAGTCAACAAAGCCCAAATCAGTAAGTCAAGAGTGGTCAAAGTCCAATAGGCCATAGGTAAGAAAGAACAAAGCTAGTCTAAGACAGAGAGAAGTTCCTAACTTGCTGCTTGTGGCGGAAAGAAAGAACTGGAGCGGCAGCCCCGCCTACTGGCTATTTATATTATCAAGGGTGAATGGGCGGGGCTACCGCCAAAAAGTATCTTTTGAATTCCAGAAAGTTCCAAAATTGTCTGCGCAGGCGCAGAAACCCATATATGTGTGAATTTCACAGGTACCACTACAGGAAACACGGTTATAGGTAAGCAACCCATCTTTCTTTGAGATAATCATCTTTATTCTTGGCTCTAAATGGAAAATCTTGGAGTGCAGATGAGGGAAGGGCACCACCAACCATGTGCCACAGAGAATGTTTCTAATTAGAAATTAAGAAGAATACTAAGTCAAGGTGGAGCTTTTCCAGAGGAGTGTGAATTAAATGACAAAATCCCCAGAAACCAGGCGCTAAGTATGCATTTAGGTTAGGCTAACGGAAGTCAAGGGGTTGTATGGTTTGTATGAAAGGAATATCACCTAGGACAGGTATGGGCAAACTTGAGCCCTCCAGGTGCTTTTGACTCCAACTCCCACCATTCCTCACAACCTCAGGCCCTTTCCTTTTCCCCCTCTGCCACTCAAGTGAAAAATGGGGCCTCATCCGGGATCGTACTTCTGAATGTAAACAAAGGCTTAAGCTGGGTTGTTGTAGGTTTTTTCGGGCTATATGGCCATGGTCTAGAGACATTCTCTCCTGATGTTTCGCCTGCATCTATGGCAAGCATCCTCAGAGGTAGTGAGGCCTCACTACCTCTGAGGATGCTTGCCATAGATGCCGGCAAAATGTCAGGAGAGAATGCCTCTAGACCATGGCCATATAGCCCGAAAAAACCTACAACAACCCAGTGATTCCGGCCATGAAAGCCTTCGACAATACAAAGGCTTAAGTGGCTGAGGGGGAAAAGGAAGGGTCCTGAGGCTGTGAGGAATGGTGGGAGTTGTAGTCCAAAACACATGGAGGGCCAGAGTTTGCCCATTCCTGCTTTAGACACATCTCTAAAACATGGAAAGGACAGAACAAAGCTTAAAATTCCATCACAGAGCCATCCGCGCAGACCACAGGGGGGTCGCTTTGAGTGGTAGTGGTAGTGGTAGTGGTAGTGGTAGTGGTAGTAGTCGTTTTGATGGTCTGGGTGGTGAGGGATCGCTTCTTCCACGCCAGAACTTTCTGGGTATGCTTCCACACTTCCTCAATCCTCTCCATCGAGATTCCGTGCACAACCACCGAGTCTAGGTACACATCAAACTCGTCCCTTGGAGGACCCCACACGCGGAAGTGCTCGTTGTGCCGGTACTGGATCCCTGACGCCAAGGCCAAGAAGGCCAGATAAACGTCGTCCAGCGGGTAGACTGGCAGCCACAACGATGCACTGTAGAGTTTTGAGATGATGGTCTGGGACATGATGAACCCCCCGCCAGAGGCAAAGTTGGGGTACTCCTTCAGCGGGTAGAAATCCAAGGGCACGGCATACTTTCCCAGCCTTACTACTCTCGAATGGTAGTGAATGTGGCCATGGATGAATTTGGAAACGTCAGGCGTCTGGTGAAGGTATTGAGTGAGCGCCTCGATGTTGACAAAGAGGTCGTCATCACCTGAAAGTCAACAGTCCGTTATTGTGATGGCTGTTTGGCAAACTTCTTATTCACTCATAAAATAAACACTTACAGTGATACCTTGAAGTAAGAGTTTAATTCATTCCGTGCCATAACTTTTAACCCAAATCACTCTTATCTCAAAGTGAATTTTCCCATTGAAATGCTATTACCGTATTTTCTGGTGTATAAGACTACTTTTTAACCTAAGAAAATCTCAAAAGTCAGGGGTCTTATATGTAGGAGTAGTCTTATACACCAGGAGTCGTCTTCTAGAGCAGGTGCTGAATCCGTGGTTGCCGCATGTTGTGGGGGGAGCTCAAAAATGGCAGTGGCCGCGTCCCTGCCGTATGCAGCGACTGTATGAAAGCATTAAGGAGGACGCTGTGCAAGGAAAAAAGAGATAGAGAAGCTCTGGGCCCAGACAAACACACTTCCTTTACCTGTCTGGACCGCCCTTGTATCCTTTTACCGTACCTCCTCTGCCTCTCAGATCTCGCTCCTGAAGACTGCAGTGAAGCAGTGCAGGTGCGAGATCTGAGAGGCAGAGAAGGAGGGACAGTAATAGGAAAATGACCATATTGAAATCTAATGTGGTGCTTTTTAAATTTTTATTTGTTGTGCATTGGAAGTGGGGTAGTCTTATACGGCAAGTATATCCCAGTCTTATATGCCAGAAAATACGGTAATCTGTTCCGGGGGTCCGAAAACCCACCCAGTCTTTTTGAAATAGGAACATGTACTTTATAAATAATGAATAATGTATAAAGACACATTCACATGGAAAAATAAAAAAGATCAGAAGCACAAAATGAAGAAGCAGAAGCATCATTTTTTTTTCTTCCTACTGTCCTCATTCCAGTCTCCCTCCCTCCCTTGCACTCTCTCTCTCCCTCTCTTCATGAAGCCAAATAGACCAGGAATAAAAACCACACAAAATCAACTAAACTAAAGTTCCTCAAAGAGGACAAAAGCAAAGCTGACAGCAGTCTCCCAAAGCGGACAAAGCACACGAGGCAAGGAGGCCGATCTCTTGAAGCCCTAAAACCTTGGACTTTTGCACTAGTGCTCCCTCTGGTCCTTGTTCTTAACTCAAAATGCTGCTCGTATGTCAAAGTGAAACACGGGCCAAGCAATTGCTCATATCTACTTTTAAATAGCTGCTTTACTGGGGAGCTGTCCTTCCCCTCCCAGGGTGCTTGTGCCCCGCTTTGTGCTGGTCAATGACCATAATAAAGTTTTGTACTAACTCAAAATGCTCTTAAGTTGGGACACTTGTATGTTGGGACACTCTTAAGGCGAGGTTCCACTGTATTTGCCTGCCTCCTGGTTTCAACACGCCGTTTCTTGCCCAAGCTTGCAAATTGTGTCATGTTGCTAAAATGAGAATTGCTCCCAGAGGACACAGGCTGGAAAGGACTGTTTGGCAGTGATGCCAATCCTATTTGTGATTAAGTCCTAGGAAATGGCACCACGGGAGAGAGCAGAAGGGGTTCCTTTTAGGTCTTGCAGGATGCTCTGATCCAGGCATGGGCCCTCTTTGGCCCTCCCTCCAGGTGTCTTGGACTTCAACTCCCACAATTCCTAACAACTGTAGGCTGCTGGGAATTGTGGGAGTTTATTTATTTATTTATTTATTTATTTATTATTTACTTTGCTTATATACCGCTGTTCTCAGCCCGGGGGCGACTCACAGCGGTGTACAACATAGGAAGAACAAAATTCAAGACACAGTATAAAAACAATTCACAATCCAGCATTATACAAAAAACATCGTCATTACTACGAAAACCATTCAACGTCGTCTCATCATCCAGGCCACAATCCAGTATCATTTTCCGTTGTTCCATTCCTATAGTCATTACCAATCATTGCACTTCTTGTTCAAACGCCTTCTTGAACAACCAAGTCTTTTAACTTCCTGCGGAATATCATCAGGGAAGGAGCCAGTCTGATGTCCACAGGAAGGGTGTTCCACAGCCGAGGAGCCACCACCGAGAAGGCCCTATCTCTCGTCCCCGTGCTTGTGAAGCAGGCGGGATCGAGAGCAGGGCCTCCCCGGAAGATCTCAAAGTCCTGGTGGGCTCGTAGGTTGAGATGCGGTCGGATAGGTATCTTGGACCGGAACCGTTTAAGGCTTTATAGGCCAACGCCAGCACCTTGAATTGAGCCCGGTAGCAAATCGGCAGCCAGTGGAGCTGGTACAGCAAGGGGGTTGTATGCTCCCTGCGTCCCGCTCCTGTTAGTAACATGGCTGCCGCACGTTGAACCAATTGAAGCTTCCGGGCCGTCTTCAAAGGCAACCCCATGTAGAGAGCGTTGCAGTAGTCTAAATGGGATGTAACCAGAGCGTGGACTACCGTGGCCAAGTCAGACTTCCCAAGGTACGGGCGCAGCTGGCGCACAAGCCTTAGCTGTGCAAATGCTCCCCTGGTCACCGCCGAGACGTGGGGTTCCAGGCTCAGCGATGAATCCAGGATCACTCCCAAGCTGAAGTTGAAGTCCAAAACACCTAGAGGGAGGGCCAAAGTTTGCCCATGTCTGCTCTAAGCACCTGCCTTTTGTCGCTGTATTTATGTGGTTCTCAGCCTGGGGTCCCCGGATGTTTTTGGCCTTCAACTCCCAGAAATCCTAACAGCTGGTAAACTGGCTGGGATTTCTGAGAGTTGTAGGCCAAAAACATCTGGGGACCCCAGGTTGAGAACCACTGCACTTGGAGAAGGGCGTAGTTCTTCTTTTGACGAGAGTTAAGTTAAAGTACGCACATTGACCCATGGAAAATACAATTCAGCGATAGATACCGTAGATAGATAGATAGATAGATAGATAGATAGATAGATAGATAGATAGATAGATTTTATTTATCATGTCAGGAGCGAACCAGAACAGTTGTATTGCATTAAAAACAAACAAAACACAAAGTTTGCAGGTAGACCGATAGATAGATAGATAGAAAGATAGATAGATAGATAGATAGATAGATAGATAGATAGATAGATAGATAGATAGTAAAGGTAAAGGTTACCCCTTGACATTAAGTCTAGTTGTGTCCGACTCTGGGTGGTGGTGCTCATCTCCATTTCTAAGAAAAAAGAGCCGGCGTTATCCATAGGCACCTCCAAGGTCTTGTGGCCAGCATGATTGCATGGAGCGCCCTTACCTTCCCGCAGAAGCGTTATCTATTGATCTACTCACATTTGCATGTTTTCAAACTGCTAGGTTGGCAAATGCTGGGGCTGACAGCAGAAGCTCACGCCGCTCCTCAGTTTTGAACTGACAACCTTTCAGTCAGCAAATTCAGCAGCTCAGTGGTTTAACCCGCTGCACTCCATACATACACACACACACACATACACACACACACACACTTACTTAGGCGATCCCTCATTGGCCAAGTAGGATAGTCTTCCAGGATGAGTTCTGGTGGGTTCATAGGTGGCTGTGGAGCCCTCTTCTTGACCTACATCTTCTCCCGCAGTGAGGGCATTGGTTTCCAGGTTAGCTTGACGGGCCTTCGTCTTGGCATGTTTCTCTCTTTCACCCTCCATTCGTGCCTCTTCAAATTCTGCAGCACTGCTGGTCACAGCTGACCTCCAGCTGGAGCGCTCAAGGACCAGGGCTTCCCAGTTCTCAGTGTCTAGGCCAGAGTGTTTTAAGGTTGGCTTTGAGCCCATCTTTCAATCTCTTTTCCTGGCAAACAACATTCCGTTTTCCGTTCTTGAGTTCGGAGTAGAGCAACTGCTTTGAAAGATGGTGGTCAGGCATCCGGACAATGTGGCCGGTCCAGCGGAGTTGATGGCGGAGGAACATTGCTTCAGTGCTGGTGGTCTTTGGTTCTTCTAGCACGCTGACATTTGTCCTGTCTTCCCAAGAGATTTGCAGAATTTTCCGGAGGCAGCGCTGATGGAATCGTTCCAGGAGTTGCATGTGATGTCTGTAGACAGTCCACGTTTTGCAGGCGTAGAGCACGGTTGGGAGGACAATCTATATATATAAATTTCCTCCTGGCGTCGTATGAGGAAACAAAACTCTAAAACCCCCCAACGAAACTCCACCAAACTTCCCATGCCCCAAGGGCAACCAACAAGGTACAAACTAATCCAGTCAGAAATCCAAAACACACAACAACAACCACAATAAACGGCAAAGCAACTGAGCATGCGCACTGGCGCAAACTCCCTGGCGCGCGCACACACATGGCCCCCCACCCCCCCCCCCCCCGGCGCGGCACACACACGCGCGCGCGTGCGCCCCTTCACACCCCCCGCGCGGCATTAGATCCATAGAATAGAGTTGAAAGGGACAGTCGAGAAGTAATGAGAGAAGGAGGGAAAGAGAAGGAATGAAGGAGAGAAAGGGGGAAGGAAGGAGAAAAGGAAATAAAGTTAAAGGAAACAGAAGGAAGGAGAGAAGGAACAAAAGACAGAGGGAAGGAAGGAAAGAGGGAAAGGGCGAGGGGGGGCCCGGCTCCCCCTCCGCCTCTGCCGCCTCCTCCTCTGCAGGCAGACCCGGGAATCTCGCCCCTGCCACCGCCACCGCGCCTGATGTCACCGGCCCCGCAGGTTGGTTGCGGGAGAGGCGCGCCATTCCCCACAGACACGCCGCCGCCAAAAAGGGGCCGGCCAAGCAGGACGCCCCGGTGAAGGAGGCCCACAACGTCGCCTTGGCAACTGGGATGCCCCCCCCGCCCGCCCACCCACCCTGCAACCCCCACCCTGCCTCGCCAAGGGGATCCGAGAGAGGGAGAAGGGGCGCGCCGGAGGCAGGGGTTTCCTACTGCCGCTGCTTCCAGACAGGGGTCTGCCCCGCTGTCATACCGGTTGTGGGTCCACCACCTGAGTCGGGAGCAACATCACGGTTGGGAAGGGGGAGGCAGAAACAGAAGGAAGGAGGGAGGGAGGGAGGGAGGGAAGGAAGGAAGGAAGGAGAGAAAGAAACACAAGGAAAAAAGGAAGGAGGGAAGGAAAGACAGAAGAAATAAAGGAAGGAAGGAAAGAAAAAAGGAAGGAAGGAAAGCAGAAAGGGAAGACTGAAATGGAAGGAAGGAAGGAAGGAAGGAAGGAAGGAAGGAAGGAAAGGAGGAAGGAAGGAAGGAAGGAAGGGAGGAAGGGAGGAAGGAAAGGACAATACATCTATCAGGCCATTGAGTTACCATCACTCATAAAAACACTGAAAAACACAGCAGACGAGACTTACAAACCCAAAAAACAAATCCACTACAATGCATGCACATAACCACATTGTTCCCCTGACATTAAGTCCAGTTGTGTCCGATTTGGGGGGGGGGGGGTGTTGGTGCTCATCTCCATTTCTAAGCCCAACAGCCGGCGTTATCCATAGACACCTCCAAAGTCATGAGGCCTGCATGGAGCACCCTTACCTTCCCGCCAGAGAGGTACCTATTGATCTACTCACATTTTCAGGTTTTCAAATTCCTAGGTTGGCAGAAGCTGGGGCTAACAGCAGGAGCTCATGCCGCTCCCTGGATTCAAACCTCCAACCTTTCCGTTACCAAGTTTCACAGTTTAACCCACTGCGGGCTTCAGCATAACCACATGTGTATTTATGCATAAACACATACACACACACATATACACATATATACACACACAAAACACATACACAGAGATTGGGCCACAGCAACGCGTGGCAGGGGACAGCTAGTAGCTTTATAAACAAGGACCTTGGTCTCGCTACGGATGGTATCCCTACACATACATATATATGGCAAGTGGACATGTGGAAGAAGGACCTGAAAGCCCACCATCCTCCCCTCTTACCTTTGAAGATGAAGGCGGCTTGCTGGCAGTGCTGGTGCACCCACTGAAGGAAGCATCGCTCTTTGAGGGACAGGTTGTGGTGCGACTCCACAAAATCCCACATCAAGATGTCTCCAATGCTGTTGCTTTCAAGCAGTGCCATGTTGGGTTGGTGATCCATGGCCATGAGGAAGACATACCTGAGTTGGAAGCCCCCCGTCTCTCTCGGCTGGGCCCAGGTGCGGCGCAGGATGGCCCTCCGACTGTGGGAGGCCGGGTGGGACTTGATGGCCAGGAGGAGCAGTGGGGGGCCCTTTGGGGAGAGGTCCTTCTGGCACAGGTCCTCCTGAGAGACCAGCTCATGACACTGGTACTGCTGGAGCTGCGGGAAGAAAGCCTCGAAAGCTTCCCAGTCGTAGAGGAAGGTGAAATTTGTCTCGTTGAAGTGGGTGTATCTGTTCAGTCGACTGTGGCGGGGGCCCAGAAGGAGGACCACCAAAGCCACCGCCAGGAGACAAACCACAAAGATCTGTTGATTCCTGCAGCCGCGGCACCTGGAGTAAAGAAGGGAGAAAACGGACCAAGTTGGGGACGCAAGTGAGCATATCAAACAGGCTAATACCCTATTTCACCAATGGCAAACCTTTTAAAGTCCCAAACGGCAATCCATTTATGTATCGCAAAGTACCAGCACGGTAATTTCGCCTGAATACTAAGGTTTTCATTTAGAAAAAAAAAACTTGTAGCGCTGCTGTGAGTTTTCCAGGCTGTATGGCCATGACCAACTCAGTCCTACACAGGGGCGGCTCATCCATTACGCGAAGTAAGCGGTCACAGAACACTTTTTTATGCCAGGGGCGCTGAGGCGCCTCTGTAAATGTCCCTCGACTGCCACTTGAGGAGCGCCCCCTCAGCTCACAACAGCCCTAGCAGTCCGGGGGGAGCCTCAGCTTTCTTGCCTCACTGCCGGGCGATCCTCTTCCCAAAGGGGCCGGACCCTTGAGCCTCGCCTTGCCCCTCTCGTTCCTGCTCCACCCGGCCACCGGGTACGCGAGCAGAGCCGGCGCTCAATCGTTCTCCGCGTTCGATCCTTTCCCCACGACTGGCTCCCTTTCCCGATCCCCCGGCGCTCCACCCGCCTCCTCTCCGCAATCTGCGGGTGGGCCAAGGGGCGGAGCTGCCATGCCTGGCCTGCTTCAGGTCCGGAGGCGTGTCTGAAGACCCCAGCATGCGCACCAAAAGTCACCTCTTCTCCTGACTTTCTCTTCAGCCATTGGGACCAAGAGAGAGAGAGAGAGAGAGAGCCCCTCCGGCTGGAGGTATCTCCCACCTCCGCTCCCTCCTTTGTTTTTGCGCCTACCTTCAGGAAAGGTGGGCATCTCCACCTCTCTCTCCCTCTCTCTCTCTCTTGGTCCCAATGGCTGAGGAGAAAGTCAGGAGAAGAGGTGACTTTTGGTGCACACGCCGGGGTCTTCAGGCACGCCTCCAGACCCAAAGCGGGCCAGGCAAGGGAGCAAATGCGGAAAGTGTAGTTACTGGGATGTATAGTTCACCTACAATCAAAGAGCATTCTGAACTCCACCAATGATGGAATTGAACCAAATATGGCACACAGAACTCCCACGACAAACAGAAAATATATATCAATGATTGGTTGGGGGGGGGGGACCAAAATACTGTTTGCTTACCGTTGAAAATTACCTAGGGCCGCCTCTGGTCCTACATTAACATATTTTGTCTTAAAAGGAAAGCACAACAGCAGAGGTTTCAATGATAACAAACAACTCTTTATTGAAAGGTAAAAGTTTGCATTGGGCATGCTCTTGAACAATTAATCTGATTTTTGCTGTTGCATGCATGCTTTGCAAGGCATGCAGCATTCAGGTGACCTGTCAGTCCACACTATATGGATTTCATTTTCAGAACTAACTGCTGACCTTTGTCATCACTTCTCTATCTTCTCAAATGTTTCATACAGATCCTATCATTTATTTCAACAGACTAAAAATTATGAAAATATGCAACAAACTAAATAAATATACAAAAAAGTCAGAATTTTTAAAAAAATCTGATTTACTGGAAATGACCAAGTTTTCCGGTGCACGCTGCTTAATCACTAATGCTTGGCTCTTCCTGCTAATTCGAAGCAGCGCCGCATACCAATTTTGTTTAATGTTTTGTGTAGTGGGTTGTTGTAGGTTTTTCAGGATGTCTGGTCATATTCTGGAACAGTGTTTCTCAACCTGGGGGTCGGGACCCCTGAGAGGGTTGCGAGAGGTGTGTCGGAAGAGTCACCAAAGACCATCAGAAAACATAGTATTTATGTTGGTCATAGGGGTGTGGGAATTTTGGCCCAATTCTATCATTGGTGGGGTTTAGGATGCTCTTTGATTGGAAGTGAACTATAAATCCCAGCAACTACAACTCCCAAATGTCAAGATCTATTTTCCCCAAACTCCACCAGTGTTCACATTTGGGCAAATGGAGTATTCGTGCCAAGTTTGGTCCATCATTGTTTGAGTCCACAGTGCTCTCTGGATGTAGGTGAACTACAACTTTCAAACTCAAGGTCAATGCCCACCAAACCCATCCTGTATTTTCTGTTGGTCACGGGGGTCCTGTGCAGGAATTTTGGTTCAATTCCATCATTGGTGGAGTTCAGAATCTCCACACACAACTGTGTGCTTCACAATTCCCACACACCAACACCCTGTTGCCTTTCAGTTTCCTCCATCACAGTGTACTTCACAATTCTCTCACACCTAATGCCCTGTTGTCTTCATTATATCCTCCCACGGCGGCCTCTCAATTCCCTCACACAGCCTTATGTGTCTCTCCCTCAGATGCCATTCCCGGCCTTCTCAGTTCTCTCTCATAGCTCTGTGTGCCTCACAATCTCCACACATAACTGTGTGATTCACAATTCCCTCACACCAACACCCTGTTGCCTTCAGTTTCCTCTCATAGCTGCCTCTCAATTCGCTCACAAAGCATTGTGTCTCTCCCTCAGACGCCATTCCCGGCCTTCCCGGTTCCCTCTCATAGCTCTGTGTGCCTCACAATCTCCACAGCTCCATAATTGTGTACTTCACAATTCCATCACACCTGATGCCCTGTTGCCTTCATTATATCGTCCCATGGCGACCTCTCAATTCCCTCAAAGCGCGCTCTGTGTATCTCCCTCAGACGCCATTCCCTGCCTTCTCCACAGTTCCCACTCATAGCTTTGTGTGCCTCACAATCTCCACAGCTCCATCATTGTGTACTTCACAATTCCATCACACCTATGCCTTGTTGCCTTCATTATATCCTCCCATGGCAACCTCTCAATTCCTTCACACAGGTTCTGTGTATCTCCCTCAGACGCCATTCCCTCCTTTCTCCACAGCCCCCTCTCATCGCTCGGTGTGCCTCACAATCTCCACAGCTTCATCATTGTGTACTCCACAGTTTCCTCACACCTACTGCTCCATTGCCTTAATTATTTCCTCTCATAGCTGCCTCACAATTCCCCCACACAGTGTTCTGTGTATCTCCCTCAGAAACCATTCCCTGCCTTCTCCACAGTTCCTACTCATAGTTTTGTGGACCTCAAAATCCCCACACACAACTCTGTATGCTTCACACAAAAAGTCACTCACATGCAATGCCCTGTTGCCTTCACAGTTCCCTCTGATAACTGCCACATAATTCCCTCACACAACTCTTTTCTCATAACTGCCTCACAATTCCCTCACAAAACTCCTTTCTGCCTTCCCTCAGGTGCCATTCCCTCCTTTCTCCACAGTTCCCTTTCATAGCTCTTTGTGCCTCACAATCTCCACACATAACTGTGTGCTTCACAATTCCCTGACACACAACACCCTTTTGCCTTCTCTTTCCTCTCACAGATGCCTCTCAATTCCCTCACAAAGCATTCTGTCTCTCCCTCAGACGCCTTTTCCGGCCTTCTCAGTTCTCTCTCATAGCTCTGTGTGCCTCACAATCTCCACAGCTCCATCATTGTGTATTTCACAATTCCCTCATACCTAATGCCCTGTTGCCTTCATTATATCCTCCCATGGCGGCCTCTCAATTCCGACAAACACAAATCCACTACAAGCCGTAGCACATCAATCACAAAGGTAAATGTTGTGTGTGAGGGAATTGTGAAGCACACAATGTTGGAGCTGTGGAGATTGTGAGGCACAAAAGACAATGAATTCCCAGAATCGCAACAAACACAAATCCACTACAAGTTGTAGTACATAAATCACAAAGGTAAATGTTGTTGTTTTTTTGCAGCTTATATGATACAATATTAAACTTATAACCAACTTATATAGTACAACATTGAGCGATATACAAGGAACAAAAAAGTGTTATTTATTTATTTATTTATTTATTAGATGCACTTGTTAACCGCCATTCTCAGCCCTTACGGGCGACTCATGGCGGTGTACAATACACATAAAAAGACAGTTACAGAGGCCAATATCAACAACATATAACTATACAACAATACAAACTACATAAAAATCCGCTTCGTCTCTTAGTAGAATCATAGCCAGTCTCATCTTCCTTATACCGTTCCAGTTCTCATTGCCGTAATGTTATTACTTAGCACTTAATTAAATGCCCTCTCGAAAAGCCAGGTCTTAAGGCTTTTTCGAAAGGACATGAGGGAGGGCGCCTGTCTGATGTGTGCCGGGAGAGTGTTCCACAGCCGAGGGGCCACCACCGAAAAGGCCCTCTCTCTCGTCCCCGCCAGCCGTGCCTGTGATGCAGGCGGGATCGAGAGAAGGGCCTCCCCAGACGATCTCAAGGTCCTCGTGGGCTCGTAGGCCAAGATGCGGTCGGAAAGGTATTTTGGGCCGGAACCGTTTAGGGCTTTGTAGGCCAAGACCAGCACCTTGAATTGGGTCCGGTAGCAAATCGGCAGCCAGTGGAGCTGGGACAACAAGGGCGTTGTGTGCTCCCTGCGTCCCGCTCCCGTTAGTAACATGGCTGCCGCGCGCTGGACTAGCTGAAGCTTCCGGGCCGTCTTCAAGGGCAGCCGTTCCAGTTAGTAACATGGCTGCCGCACGCTGAACCAGCTGAAGCTTCCGGGCCGTCTTCAAGGGCAGCCCCACGTAGAGAGCGTTTATTTACACAATGATTTTACATCAGTCACAAAAGTAGAACCTTTCTTGCTGTAAAGCAGACTTCTCTTAAGGGCATAAGATCCCTTACTTTCTCTAAAGATACTACTGAGTGGAGCTTCCAGTCCCTTGTAAGAGGATATCCACGTAGAGGATTTCCAGACCGGTTTCGACTGTCTAATGTCTTCCTCAGGTGGAGAAATGTGAAAAGTACATCAAGTTCTTCAAAATAACACTTCTCCCTTGGGTGGATCTAAAGGGAATATATACAGGTGGCTAGAACATGTCCCAAAAGGGATAAATATTTCCATATATTGCCAACATGTAAGGCATACAAAACAAAATAGGCATAGATACTTACAACATGTTCTCCTAAACAGTGCTCAGCAATGGTTAGATTCTGTCGCAAGCACACGGCCAACAAGTAGCAACTA